ATAAGAAGAAATCTTTGTTTTTTAGTAATTGGTTTGAGAAAAATGTGTTGACTGTTTCCCAGTTACTGAATTCTGAAGGATATATTTTAAATTATGAAGAGTTTTTATGTAAATTCAATTTCCCAGTAACTCCCAAGGAATTTTCCATTGTAATGGACGCGATTCCTAAGGGAGTTGTTATGCTTCTAAAGGACTTTGTTAGATCATCTGACACTTTTCCTCAGTTAGACCCATTTGAACACCCAATAGGAAAATTATGCTTTCTGTCAAATAAATCATCACTTAATATTAGAATTAGATCACTCTTTCAAAAAGAGCTTGTAACAATTCCATATGTGGCTTCAAATTGGATGAATTTATTTGATCATATTGATTGGAAAAAAGTATGGACTCTGCCTTTGAAATATATAATAACTAACAAGATTAGAGAAATTTCATTTAAATTATTACACAAGTATTACCCTGCTAAAGCCTTTTTGAAAAGATTTAAGTCAGATCTAGACACTAAGTGTTCTTTTTGTGGCGCACCTGACGAGACTGCTCTCCATATATTCTGGGACTGTCCTCATACACAGTTATTTTGGGTTGAATTTTCTAATTTCATTAAACACAATGTGCTTCCGGGTTTTTCCTTGCTCTTTAAGGATGTGCTGTTTGGCTTCTTTAATATAGAAAAAGCTAAATTTAATGAGTATTATATTATTAATTTGTTGTTATTCCTTGCAAAATTTCACATTCACCGTAGTAAATTTACGCAGCAGAATCCCTTATTCATTGTTTTTAGTAGAGAGGTTCAGCAATACATCCAAAGTATCTCATCATCCAAGAATCTTAAAGCTCTTAAGACCATAAACTTGTTTGAACTTTTCAATTTAATTTATTAATGCATTCTGTTCTGTTTTATTTATTTTTGTTTTTATTTTTTTTGTATGTATATTATGTGGCTATATGCATATGTGCTGTATTGTTTTCATCTTTTTTCCTATGTGCAATTTGTATATTGTTGTAATTTAATTGTATTTTTGATACCTTGGCATTAATAAAAAAAAAAAAAAAAAAAAAAAAAAAAAAAAAAAAAAAAAAAAAAAAAAAAAACTATTCACTACCTGTTGATTTCTATTGTGCAAAAACTATCCAATAAATAACTCTGTTGTCTAAACAGTAGGATTTTAACTTAGTAGTAGTCTTTTATGTGGGACAGCATCGAAATAAAATAAAAACAAAAACGAAAACATAGTTAAGAGAACAAACAATGGCAGAAGTACCAGCTGGTGTTAGCTTATTAATATTAATTAGGGCGTGCTGACGTTGTTAACCCTCCTGGACTCGGAGACGATCACGTAATCTAAGGGTAGTTGGGAAGTTATAACTCGATTCGCATTTTTTATTTTGAGAAACAACCACACAAAGAGGTTCAACTTTTCATTAAGTTGGCTATGGGAATACTTAGGCTATTATGAAAAATGTACTCGCCAACAGATCAACGCAATTTGCGATCACATATCAATTTTTTGTTTTCACCAATCAAGATCCGAACATCACATTACGTAATCAATATTAATACGTTAGTCTTCGCCATAGTAGCCTAGGATGAACGGCTTTTCGAAATGACCTAGTACCCAATCAATGACAAATAAATACAGCACAAATACATATCAGCCTTTATCTTCGCCGCGCCTTTTATGTTTAATAATAAAAAGTATTATTTATGAAGCATGCCTACAAAGACGGTTATGGTTAGGCTGCCCCCCCCCCCCCCCCCCCACATAAATAAACATCCAGGAGTGAACTGTATTAAACTCACCCAAAATATGAAATTGAAGCCGAATATGGCGTATTTTATGCACTGCTCAGCACTGGACAGACCGGACTTCATGTTGATCCAGGTTATAAGTAAACAGCAACAAATATTTTTGTTGTTCTCATATGTTTAAATTCCCAAAGGTCTGTGTGTGTCCTGTTGCTCGTGACTGGTGCTCAATGCTGCTACCCTGAGGGGGAATGACTGTTTATAACGGTTAACACCCACCTCTCACATGAGGAAGGGACAAGAGTCTGTCACATTCACTTCTTTCTTTCTTTCTTTCTTTCTTTCTTTCTTTCTTTCTTTCTTTCTTTCTTTCTTTCTTTCTTTAAAGAGTTTTAGAATAAAGCGGGTAGGGTATATGTTTAAACAAGAAAATTATCTGGAGAAATTATTATTATTGGCGTTTTTAAGGAAAAACTCACTTCATTTTGATCAATTGTTTACTGTAATAAGTAGCTATATATATTGATTTAAGAATGCTAATGAAAATACTGATTAAGAGAATGTTTTTTTTTTATACAAGCAGAGTGCTACTGTGCTATATTCCTTTGGTTTTAATTAATACTTTGATTGAGATTTTGTTTTCTATTTTCATTTTATTTAAAGTTTTAGTTAGCTATCTTGTTGTGTGTTTAAAATGTATCATATATAATTTATCTTAATTTTATATATATAATTTTATTTTTTATTTCAAGTAACCAAAATGTTTTTTTTTTTTTAGTTTTAGTTATGATAACTCTGATTACAGCAGGCCAAATTGATCAAAAACCTGCCTTAAGTTTCTCATGAAAAAACCACAGATGACTCTTTCCTCTTTTAGCTATGATCTAATCATTGTTGGAAGTCACATGACATGACATATCAGCTTAGTCAATCATGGTTTCTTGTTCAAAAACTGTACTAAATCCCCAGATCCCCTGGTTTAAATATGTTAAAGCATTTCACACAACATGGCATTTGCGGAAAAGGCTGAAAATGCAGATAATTAACATGCACTGCTACCTTACGCAATGATTACTCACGACTTCTTCCACACACTGAACGTTTTCAGCTCTGTTTACAAAGTCTGTCCTCTGTTTAATTATAGAAGTTCTATGGTTTGATGGATTTTTCCTAGCTAGTGGTGCCAGCTTTGTGGAGAGGGGAGTACATGCTTGTGAGGATGAGATTTTTGTTGAGGAACAATGCAACCCATTGTCATGGTCAGAGTGTTGTGACACCCATCCATCTCTGCCTGTGATGCTTGTCACCCACAGCAACCACAAAACAATGACTGTCAATCACACTGACTCTTCGGAATATTTGAGCAGCAGTTATGGAATGAAATCAAATTGAATGTCTATTTACTTCACAGAGCCCTTGTCAAGAAGGCAGATGGCGTAGAACTGAGTCACAATGTTTCTCACCTCAGCATATCAGATGCTCATTAAATTCAATGGTCTTGGCACACAGATGATTAATTCCCTGCAGACACAAGACCTGTTTGACCTCAGAGTGACATTTCACCGGTAATTTCATTTTGTGGTGGGCTGCCGAGTCAACAATGCCTGGTTTTGTTAACACTTAAAATCAAACCGTTATTTCATGGAATGTGTGCACATTTTCACATGTTGTGCAAAGAGATGACCACATATAATCTGCGTCACAGAGAATCACCAAACATCCTCCTATTGCTAAAAAAAAAACCCCAATTGCATATGTTTTTAAGGGTTTTTAGTCAGTCTGTGGTCTGGCATAACCTTTTACACCTGTGTTGCCAAATTCACAGTTTTTCCATGTTCCACTTCCCTCAACATCTCAACTTCCAACTCATGCCTTATTTTTCTTATAATGTATTTGAATGATGTTTTAAAACGTTGTGCACTACCAAATAAAGAATCTACGGTTCTATGAAGAATCTTTACATTTAAATGGTTCTTCTGTGGCATGACTGTGAAAATCCCCTTTTTGTAACCTTTATTTACTGTACTGTGGATATTTATAATATGTAAGCATTTCCTTGACTTCCTCAACTGAATTTGAACTATAGCTCTTTCTGAAAGAGAGAAAAGAGAGAGGGGGGACAGGGAAAGGCCTTATGTGAAAGGATCGCTCTCTTCAAAACAACTCTGTATTCATACTGGCACAAAGACAATAGGGGTCTCTTTTGAGTGCAGGGCATTGGAGGATAGTGGTGGCAAGGATGCCATCTTGTGGTTCTCAAACAGGCTAGTTTGTCAATACACATTCAGGAAAACTGATCAATTTAACAAGAACATAACTTTAACCACAAGATGGCGCTAATGTCACATCAATATCCATATTCTCAACCCTCTTGGTGCTCAGATGGTCTCCGTTCCAATATTCTCCACAAACAAATAAATTCACTGTCTATGTTGGTTTTCCTGTTCACTGTTGACTTTGATCAATAACTTGCCTTAACCTCCCACCGAGAATGGATTAAGATAAATACATACATGTAAAAATGATGGCTTCATAGTGCAAATCCCTCCTGGTACATCCCAAATGTACCAGACCTGTGTGAGTAAAGTAAAGCATATATATCTATAAGTCAAAGGTGTAAAATGAATGAGAGCTTCAAAGCTGATTTAACAGGCAGGCTTTTGAAGAGTTAAACGTGACATATTCCCCATTCCTGTTTCCAAGAGGAAATCAACCAAATCGAGAGCAGTTGTGTGGGTGAGCTTTTGAGGGGTATAAGAACCGCTTCTGAATGGAGGAAATTCCACGTCTCCTCACTGATCTGAATGTGTGGAGTTCCTATAGACCTATATATAGAATGTAACTTGGCAACACGAAAAGCATGTGATTTATGTGTTCAAAATGGATGTTTCACTGGTGTCCTATATGAAACAGCAACCCATTAAAAGCTGCTGCGGGCCTAACATTTTAGTTTGCAATTTATTAGGGCAGTGTAAGCCAAAATAAACACTTCAAGAAACCAATAATGGCTTCACTGTAACATTTCCACAAAAAAAGAGCAATCACAACTTCAGTTTTTAAATAGATCATATGGTGGAACTGGATGGTGGGCTTTTTTCACCTATGACAGAAGGTATACTGAAAATTAGCTAAAGTTTGGCACTTTCATAAGCCCTGCGTCTCTCCAGCAGTCATGGTATTAAATTAAGCCTGGCCAAAGCCTGGTGAGGATTTTGCGCCTTCACAGTCTCTAATCGCCCCATACCTGATTGTGTGTTGGTCTCCGGCGACATGGCTGTGAATGGATCCTGTTCGTATGTTGGTAAGTCATGACAAACCCTGTCCACAGATAATTGGCTATACACAAGCTTTTAAAACTTAGTTAGGAAGCGCACCAGTATTTTTATATACATATAGGCTATATATATTTATAGAAACATGTTGTTTTGCATAAAATATAACTTTGTTTTGATTAGATGTGTTATTGGTGTTGAATTAAATGTGTAATGTAATGGGTATTAATTGCGATTAAAACTTTACTGTTTCCCATCAACAGAGGTGAATAACTGTGTTCTGAATGGAGTCAGGACTGCCTTGAGTGAGTCGTCCTCTATTTGCAGTGACATAGGGGAAATATCCGAAACTGAAGTTATGAAATCCACCAGCTGCACCTTTGATGATCCGTTTGACTCCATTGAAGAGTCTTGGCATCATGTGAGTAGCCTTCTGAACATGTATACGTGGCAAATAAATTCAGTTTTTGTGTGTTATGTGTTTGTAGATGTACTTCAAAGAAATAAAATGTCCGGGCCTAAAGAATGTCTTTATTATAAGGGTAATGGGGTTGGGTACAACCACTAAATAACAACAAACACCACAAAACTTTCCTAATCACCTGTTGGTCGCTGTGATGCGAATGGGAAAAGTTGACTATGAGGTCAACATATGCAATCATAAAAAAAAAAAAAACTGAGGTAATGTGATACTTGAAAAATGTAATCAGTTTTAAAGTGTGGCATTTTTTGTTATAGTTGCTAGTTTGAATCCATGCAGTTATCTTAATAGTTAATAATTTTACACTGCTGTAATGTAATGCATGATGACCAGCTACAACAAAATACTTTTCTTAAGTGAGGTGAGGGGAATAGATTTGTTGCAAAGTGGAGCGAAAATGCAATGGGGATTAATTTATGAAAAATGTCTATACTCCAAGATTCTTCCTAAAAGCAGGAAAAGCAGGAGATTGAACATTTGTTGTTATGAAATGGAAAATCTTGCTATCTCAAAAGTTTAAGCACTAAGTGTCAAATTCTGCTTGATCACTAGAAATTATATCCATACTATTTTCCACTAAATCCCTTTTAATTATTATTATTATTTACTCACAACAGCCTTAACAAATATGTCTTACTCCATCAAACAAAAAACTCATTTTTTCTTCATGTTGAAGCAGCCACATTGTGCTTATGGGAGCATTTAGCCCCACTGAATTCTTTGTATTAAGCTTTAAATCACCACGCTATTTCGTAGAGAACGATTTATGCATTAATCGGATGTGCGCAGAATTTTTTGAACCTGTTGGCGACCATATTTACGCAGGCGCGCAATCCCCTCCGGCGCGTAATGATGCGCTCTGGCGCTTGGAGACGCGCAGGTATATTCCTTCAGGGACAATTAGTCAGTGCCAAATCATAAGTTTCTGTGGAGATGCGTTCTGTTGTGCGTGAAGCAAATCTTTGCGCTTCCCAGTCAACGATGCCAAAACCCGACAGACGGATGGATTTCATGCTTTGCGAGATCGATGGATAAACAGAGGGAAAGATGGATGGTGCCGTCTCTGTAGGGTGACATCAGAAACGGGCATGCCACCAGAAACACACACAATTTTCCGGGAACGCCGAGGAACTGTTGCCGTCGTTTCATCTTGTTTTTGTGTTTTTCTTTAAGTGTGACAACATGGTGCAGACAAGTGACAACAAGATACATGTGAGTATGCTTTTAATTTCTCGAGAATAGTGCTACTAGAATACCTGTAGCAACATGCAAGCAGGTTAGCTTTAGTTTTAAAGCCAGTAAATTGAATGGACGATAACCCAGAAATAAACTGCATCAATAACTGTGAAGTGTCCATTGCCTTCACTCTTTCAATCTAAATTGTATTGAGAGCAGCCAAATTAAGAAGCAATAGTCTGACCTACATCTATCCTCCTCACCATACTCTCCCCCCCCCCTCCCCCTCCCCCCTTTCTTCTGAGTTGAATTTGATATGCACACACACTGCTGATGAACACTGAGCCTGGGTACATTGTATTCTCCTCTCACCTGTTCAGGTGGCCAATAGCCTGATGGACGTGGACCAGGACCCTCGCAAACGGCTGTACTTTGCTGACGGCCGAAGGAAAGTGGACTATGTGCTGGTGTACCACTACCGAAAACGTTCCTTCGTCAGGGGGTCTCCTAATCAACACAGACTGTCCACTATCTCCAATGGTAGTTATCCTTTAGGAGTGGAGGAAAAAGATCCAGTGGGAGGGAAGGATGAACCTGTGGAGGTGGTGGTGGACGTTGGACCACCAGACCCCGCCGATGGGGAGAAAATCATGATCCGAGAGGAGTTCGAGGGCAATTTAAAACAGGCTGGGCTGGAAATTGAGCGTGATAAAGAGGTGTGTGGAAGCTGAATAGATATCATTTTTGGTGTACAGTGGAATATTACATGCAAGTATATGCCTTAATCCGAGAATGAATTGTTTTTGCTATAGCCAGATGTGTCTAATTGCATTTTTGATCTCTGGTGCTGATTTTACAGAAAGCTGTTGCTTTAGATCAGTTGAGTTGTGCCTGGTCATTGTCAATACAATATTAGTCAGGAACTTTCTCTCATAGTCATACATTTTAGGAAATAAGATCTTGGCTGTGCAGAGGGGACTCTAATTTGGTTTCCTAAAGATTGTTTACTTAATAGTCTTTGCAATGTTTGTAAGTCCTAATACGCAACTTAATATTGGATTGAGCTACCATTTCACAGGGCATCAGACCAACTTGGGAGTCATCCACGTATTATTGTTTTGTTAGCCATTCATTTTAAAGATCAGCCATTATGTAGTAATTGGACTGAATTCGTATGGTATTAGTAATGGTCCCCAGGTGAACTCTTCTTTATCTGTTGCTAGGGAGCTTATATTGTCTCTGGGGGATTACATGAATTCTCCTAATCTTTTGGTTAAAAAGCTAGTTGAAATAAACCCCTCTCTTGTAGACTATGACAGAAAATACTTTATTATTGTGTGTCTCTGTGATTGTTTTGTACTGTGCGTCTTCATCTGTAGCGTGATTAGACTTGTGGTGTGAAGCCAAGTTAGATTATCAGGCTGGTAATAGTAGTGATTGTCTACTCTCTCACAGAAGAGCTGTGAACCGGCCTTTGACAGCACACTGAGTTAACTGTACCCTAGCCTGAAAGGGACCAAATTTCTGCTCTAAATTTAACGGTTTGCTATTTGTCATTGTTGTAAATGATAGATTCCCCATTTTCTAACACTGGCTTAATCATCTGAGTTTTTCAGAATATTCAGAATTGGCTTTTACAAACAGCTTTTTAGCATGTCAACTTTTTTATTATCAAAACCTTAAGGTAGCCTATTAAACAATGCACTCTATAGCATAATTTCCCTTGGGAAACCTGGTAAGGCGGAAAGATGTACCTGTTGTGAAAAGCTTTGTCATGATTACTTTCATCATCTTCATTATCATGATCACTGAACCCTATTCAACACTGTTCTCCTGCTTTGTTCGATCACCATCATTACATAATGTTTTGCCCCGGCGGTACTTTCGAGGTGTGCTCTGTGACCGCTGCAAATACCTGCAGTCAGACACTCTGAATTATTCAGCCGGTAACTGAAGTTTGATTGCAGGCAGCCTGAACAGGGACAGTGGGTCAAGTCACACATTAACCATGTCTCACCTGCGGTCTTCCTTTTACCTCGACACATGGTTAGAGTTTACTATCACTCCGGCGGATACACCGTCTCGGATAACTTCAGGAGTTTTAGAAAAGGCTAGTTTGGGTTTATTGTTTCATGTGGGAGCTGTCTGGTGGACTGACTTAATTGGGAGTGAAGTTTTGTTTTGAATATCTTCAATGCTCAAGGGGACGTCACTGCCGCAGGTATTATGTTTCAGGGGCAGCGTGTTTGTTTGTCTTAACAGCCCCGTTCTGATGGATAACATTGGCTTTCTATGGAGGCAATAAATATACAAGTTTAAAAACAACAAAACCAGAGGGAAAATGTGGTGAGAAGGCTTGTCAAGTAGTTTATTGCTATTTGGCATCAGCTGTGTTCTCCTTTTTCAATGGTGGGAATGCATTTACAGACATACCTCTTATCCTCTCTAGGTGTGTTATGAGCATTATTGCTGTTAATAACAACAAATTTAAACAACATAATCATGTACACAAGTCTGTCATGTAAAGTCTAGTGTCACATCCTTGATGTTGGGGTGGTTAGACTTTCTATGATGACTGGGATTTGTTTTCCTTAAAAGCTATATGCTGAACCTACATTTAACATTATATATTTGCTTTATGTGGCACAATTTCAGATATTCAAGCAGTTTCTAGAGTAGATGCCAGTCTTCTCTGATTATCTATCTGTGTCTGTAAATCTTACGAAATTAAACCAATCACGTGTTGAAACGCTTCTGTGTTACTGGAGAAAATGATGGGATAATCTCACTAGAGTTGCAGCATGCACAAGAGACTTTTATCTGAACAGTGTCTTTTCCCTGTAGACCTAATATCTGTTCACAAGTCTTTAAAGTAGTTCACTTTTAAAAAAACTTTTGCTGATAATTTACTCACCCCCATGTCATCCAAGATATCCATGTCATTCGTTCTTCAGTCGAAAAGAAATTAAGGTTTTTGATGAAAACATTCCAGGATTTTTCTCCATGGAACCAAACGGTTCATGGTCCAAAAGACAGTTTCAGCGCAAACTGCAAATTGTTCAATGGGCTTTAAATGATTTCAGACGATGAATAAGGGTCTTATCAAGAGAAATGATCACTCATTTAAAAAAAAAAAATAACGAAGTTTAAGTTTTACAAGCTCAAATGGTCACCTTGCTCTGTTCTGGGATGGGACTCGTTCAACTCGTTCATTTCGTTCGTTGAATGAACCAAATGACACGAAAAAAAAATTGTTCATTTTGATAAGTTTGAACAGGAGAGTCACAAACGCGCATCACAGAATAGAGCAAGGCGAGCATTTGAACTTATAAAACTGAACTTATTTTACTGAGCGATCGTTTTGCTTGATAAGACCCTTATTCATCGTCTGAAATTGTTTAAAGCCCTTTGAACAGTTTGCACTGAAACTGTCTTTTGGACCTTGAACCGAGAAAAATCCTGGAATGTTTTCATCAAAAACCTTAATTTCTTTTCGACTGAAGAAAGAATGACATGGATATCTTGGATGACATGGGGATGAGTAAATTACTAGCAAAAGTTTTTTTTAAAAGTGAACTACTCCTTTAATTTGAGTCGAGACTATTTGTGAATTAAGTGCCTCTTCAGTTTGAATCTCAGGCTAGAGTTTGCATCTCTGGTATGAGCCATGTAATCTCAGGATTCTGTCCATTCAGAGATGTTGTTTCTCGACTCTTTATTTGAGTTAATTACGCCAAATGTCAAATGCAGGGCTCACCCTGCCATGAAGAGCCCTTTCCGCTCATGGGTCTTTGGGAGCCCCTCAAAATGTCAGTCGCAGCCGGTTTCTGTAGCGATGGCTCCCACTCAGTCTGTGCTCAAATCGACCTAATTGCCTTACCCTGCTGAGATGAAGTACTAATTGGAATATCTTATCCTAATTAACCTTCTCAGATCCACATGTTATTTTTATCTCTCCTTTGTGGGTGTGTGTGTGTGGAGGGGCAGAAAAAAAACAGCTGTGGTGTTGGAACGCAGGGGACGGTGAGGATGTCCTCAGGTTTCCATCATCTCTTTTTGTCTCATCACTCTCATTTCATCTCAATGTCTCTTTCAGTTTCATCTTGCTTTCTTCTTAACTCATGCTTCTCTAGATGGCATGGCTGACCACTGTCAGACAGATACAGTTACTTTCATCTCTGTGTGGGCACGACGTAGCTTCAGTGTTGGATTTCATGGCTACAACTTGCAAAAAGAGATCATTTCCATACCCCCCAAGTTTATGTAATATATATAGTCCCTCTTTAGGGACTCTCAGATGGGCTCGATGACAATCTGCCACTCTTTTGACATCGATACTTCTAATCTGGGTTATTTTCAGTTTATGTGTTTGCTGTCGATTAGCACCGGCAATAATTTCCACAGTATGTTTAAACAAATGAAAAATGCTTTTTATAGATAGCCAGGAAGCAAGTGGGCAGCACTCCAAATTGGTGTTTAAAATATGCAATTGAATCTAGAAACTAGGATAGCTTCACCTAAAAGAGACAATTTAGACATCTTTGTAGTTCAGGTAACGTATTTATGTGCTTTAACCTTAAATTCCATGACCCAAAAAGAAGAATGCGTAAAGGGCCTGTATGTCCGTTGTTTTCCTGTTTTCCATCTAATGAAATCATTTAAGAATTTGCACAAATACAAAAATGTTACCTTTAGGCTTAACAGCTTGTCACTGGGAACATCTCACTAAAGGAACTTCTTTGTACCTTATTTACCCCTAAAGGTTCTTAGAAGTACCCCAAGAGTAGGCTACATATTACAACTCTAAGGTACTAATGTGCATATTTTAGGGGTAGATAAGGTACAATGTCGTCCCTTTAAGGGTACTGCCCCATGCAGTGACCAGCTGCATGGGACAGTACAATTTTACAGTTAACACAGTTAAGCTATATGCCAACATACTGCGGTAAGTCAAAGTTTATCTTGTCTTTATTGTCCTCAACCAAACTTATGCTTAAGGATTTTTTGGGTTTCTCTGAGTGTAATGTTTTATTTGTATGTCAAGACCTTTCTCTTCGATTCTTTCCCCAGAGCAAGACTCATGGTCAGGCTTTCATCCGGCTACATGCACCTTGGCAGGTGTTGAGCAGAGAGGCAGAGTTTCTCAAGATCAAGGTGCCCACCAAAAAGGTAGGATACAGCTGAGCTTTCTCTTATTTTCAAGACAGACACGAGTCCCTTTGGGATGTCCTTGTGGAGCCCTCAGAAGTCCCTGCATGCGTGTCTCTGATGTACGTAAGGGAGAGAGGGAAAAGCACAAACGAATAATGCTGATTGATGATCTGAGGCTTTGCTGCTGATTTTGACTGACAATTTTGTCTCTTGTTTAGAGTTACGAGTTGAGGGAAGATAAAGGTCTGGCTGCCACCATGAACGAACTGTGGCGGAAGTTAAATCAACCGTTCCAGCCCAAAGTACCACATCAGGAGCAAGAGCAAAGCCGCACCAAGTTCCTCTCTCACTGTTTTTCCCGGGACAAGCTCCACCTGTGAGAGCCTGGCGTGGTTGGGGTGATGTGGGGTTAAATGTCATTTGGGGCCACATGGGATTTTCTTCCTTTCTTAGAGGACTTGACAGGATTTGTTTGATTGCCAAAGGCAGCTGTGTAACTCATGGATGTCTCATCGCTATTTTTGGCCTTTTTGCAGGTACAACATCACCTCGAAGGACACCTTCTTCGACAATGCCACAAGGGGCCGAATAGTGAGTCTGTTTTGCTTTGCTCATGAAAATCCTGTTCATTCAGAATGGTACAATTTGATACGTGTTCTTTGGTTGTTGAAAAGAGAAGATGATATACAAGAGGGAACAAAAGTTATTTGCTAGCAGCAGGGGATTGCCGTCTCTAGGCACAGTTCTAGGAAACCAATTCCACCGGGAGTTTTCCAGGAACAATTTACAGGTTTATTGTTTGCTTGTATCTCCCTCACTCTTTCTCTTTCTTGCCGTCTGCCTCAGGTGTATGAAATCCTCAGACGCACCGCCTGTGCACGGACCTGCCAAACCATGGGTTAGTAATACATTAATCCATACGGACTAGTGTTCAGGGAATCCTCAGGATATTCAGGGCCAGAATGTGAGCTTTGGAAGTTGGGACAGGGTGCAACACAAGCTCATGCCATATGCTCCCTTGGACAAAGCCACAAAGCAGACGGACCACCGGGGGCTGTTGGGAGATCGAGGCTATCCGGCAGAAGGGATGACTTGGTGCTCTCTTCAGTTACCCCTCCCTTTCTTTCTGTCTGTCTCTCAGACTTTCTCTTACTCGGTTTCATACAAACTGAGTAAATTGGGTCATAAAGTTCTGGGATTGGGATCCCAATTGAAGCCGGGTCCATTGAGGTGGAAAGAGGGGGGCAGTGGGTAGTGGTCTTTCCAGCTTGTTGCTGGAGAGCTACTTTATTAATTGTGGGCTAATCACCAGAGCGTACGTGTCGTTCCTTTGAGGACTGATTAATTACTTTGATTAAAACCTGTGTTCTACATGTCAGCTGTCTTCCGCCTCCAGAACTCAATGAAGTTGGGTCACTTTAAAGTCATAGCAGTCAATCATTAATCCCACAGATGATGTTGAGTATTTTAAGGTGCTCCCTTTTTTGCCTTGCAGGTATCTCCACTCTGATAGCTAACGGGGTTTATGATTCAGCATTCCCACTGCACGATGTGAGTTGTTTTTTTTTCTGGATTCCTCTGCTTTACTTTCTCTCTCCTGTCAGGTTGATTTGTAATGTGTTTTTGTATGATTACAGGGAGACTTTCGCCCCACTGGACAAGCCGAGGGGAAGAACGACAGACAGGTATGCTGCTATTGCGTTGCATTTTTTTTTTTCAATGAATCCGAAGGAAGAACATGGTCAAATTCTGTATTTTTTGTACCCTTTTCAGCTGTTACATGATGAGTGGGCAAGATACGGTGCTTTTTACAAGTATCAGCCTGTTGATCTTATCAGGTAACTGTCAAAACACTTTGACGCATTGCTTTAGATCAGAAATGCCCAAATCCACGCCTGGAGTGTCTGTGTTGACATCACAAATTATCAAATCACTACACTCTACAAAATTCTGGGTTCTTTTAACCCAACTTTGGGTCAAATATGGACAAACTCCAACATTCGGTTAAAAATGTAATTTAAAAATGTAACCCAATGGCTGAGTTTGTCCATATTTGACCCAAAATTGGGTTAAAACAACCCAGCATTTTTTGGAGTGTAGAAAGGGCGAAAATAAGGTTGGTAAAAATTATTTTCTTTATGCATATCTTCAATTCTAATTACATTTTTGAACTTTATTTTAAGTTTGCATTGGAATGTAGAGAATACAAGCGACTTTGATTTTTAAAAATACATTGAAATATAATATAGTTGGATATAATGCAGCTCTTACCTTTGGCCCATAGCCTTTAATCAGGTTTGACTTTAAAACAGTTGGCACCTCTGCTTTTAGATTGATATTTCATTGATGCAACATACAATCCCATGTGTAACCTTTAGGAAGTACTTTGGGGAGAAGATAGGTCTCTACTTTGCCTGGCTTGGTGTCTATACTCAGCTACTGATGCCTGCATCTGTGGTGGGCATCATCGTGTTCTTCTACGGCTGGGCCACAGTGGAAACAAACATACCTAGGTATGTGCCAGTAAAGCCCACCGAGAGCTGGGCACGGGTCCCTGATGTGGGTGGGCACACGATATCTGCCAGGTTGAGAGTAACTATCTGTGATTATTATATTCCACTGATAATACAAGGAACATAGTTCTGGTGTTTATTTTGTTGCATCTTATTCACAGAATTAATTTATGCTAGAATTGCAAGTGTTTTAAGAATGTGCTCAGAATGCATTTGTGACTGAAACATCTCAGGGGAGCACAGGAATATTATGATCCTTTTTAATGTAAGTACTTACGAGAGTACACGGTGAACCAGACGATTTTATTTTTGAGACCACAGTGTTTCTGTCCAGTGCAGTCACAATATATAATGGGCTGTAATTAATTTATTTTGTTGGACTGTTGCATGGCTGTCTAATTTTGTGTGTTTCTGCCAGCCAGGAGATGTGTGACGAGGATCAGAACTTCACTATGTGTCCCCTCTGTGATCGGGCATGTGATTACTGGCATCTGAGCACAGCGTGTGGCACAGCGCGTGCCAGCCATCTCTTTGACAACCCAGCCACCGTGTTCTTTGCCATCTTCATGTCCCTCTGGGGTACGACCTAAAAATCCCTTTAGTTTCATTATCTCAATGTCTATTGTTTTATTCCATCATTGACACTTGATAAGTCTGACTCTCATATGAGTACAATTCATACATCAGCATTAACTTACGGGTTAACTGATTAAAAACGTGATTAAAAACAGCAAAAAGTGGCCTTACAAATCAGTATATTGTCTAAAATGCCTATTTTTAAATGCATCTTGACCCAAACTTTCCATTCACCTGCACTCTGTCTTTGTTTTTAAACACTAAAATGACGGCCCTTGGGTATTAGCCATTTTTATATATTATTTACTTGAAGAGCTACCTCAGATCTGTTTTTCAGTCCTATTGAATATGAGACCAGTTCAAGCGGTTAGCATTAACATGCAGAAGTGCAGCAGTCTCCATAGTGATGGAGTTGAAGAGATGTTGAATGGCCAGAGAGTAGTGTTACCTCTTTCTGTCACCGCCTGATTCCCCGCACGGGCCTGGCTGATGGAGGCATTGTGAAACCGCTCAATTCCTGACATTGACCCATCTTTGGCACCTGCGTGGGGTAGCAGAAGCTATACATTATTACTCATACAGAGACCCCCAGTAGAATGTATAGAAACTGCATCTGTTCATATGTAGGCACTGAGATGTATTAATTAGCCATCCAATACTGTTTCAAAGCAAACACACACTGTTTAGGTCTTTATTGTGAAGATTTAAAGGCATAGCTCGCCCAAAAAAAATCTGTCAGCTTTCTGTCACATCGTTCGAAACTCGTTTGAATTTCTTTCGTCATTGTGAATTTTTAGGGAATATTCTATGCTTTACTTATATCTACTGTATAGTTTTTAAGAAATCAAAGTCAATGAAGACTGGGGCTGTCACAAGGAGAAACACAGTGATCTATGAAAAAGATTCTCAACAAAAAACAACTTAAATTTTGGTCTGTATTAAATAGTGCACATGTCACAAGGATTCCTTTATAGGATGGAAAAGAGCTTTGTGCACATTCTGCTAAAAATCTCTTTTTGTGTAGAAAGAAAAAAACAACAATCATGCATATTTGGAACGCTATGAAAGCTGGTAAATAATGACAGAATTACAAATCATAAACAGTGATTCCACGGGATGGAAACGTGTTATCTCTGCTCAAATATTTAATCTAGCATGAACTAAACCCAGGATGTCAAAATAACTTACGTTACGTGTTGGCAGTCAGAAGATGGTACTGGTTACATCCACAGGACTCCTATAATGCTTGCTTTTTTATTATTATTAACACAACTTAAAACTGAGTTCTCATTAGCAGGCACATCTCAGTACTTCACCACAATGGTAATCCTCCTGAAAACCACCAACATTACAAGTACTCTTTTAAATACTAACACAATAGAGTATTAAACAGTAAAAAGTCTTCCCATTTTCTGATCACACAAAAAAATGCATAAAATAACACTTTATTTTATATTTACTCTCTCTAGCCAGCCCAATGCAAAGCATGATGGGAAGTGGAAGTCATGTTCCCAGTTTTATAATGCTACTTTAACACAACCAAAAATGATGTTGTTGAACAAAATTCGTTGAACATGATGAAATATGGAAACTAATTATTTTTGATTAACTTGTTTTATTTAATTAAATTGAACAAGCAGATTAATTCATTTGAAGTGTCCCTTTAATGGTTTTGTAGATGAGATGTGATGTGACACTTATAAATCATCTTTTGCTTCTCTTTTCCCTTAAGTGTCTTATTTGTCAGCACTCATTTACTGTATTCCTCATCTCTCGCTCTCTTTAGCGGCCATGTTTCTAGAGCACTGGAAGCGCAGACAGATCAGTTTGAACTATAGTTGGGATCTGACAGGCATGGAGGAGGAGGAGGTACGTTCTCACACGTACACAATCACATTATGTTACTCACTAGTATTTGCATGTGTGGATTACAGCTCAGTGGCCATGAGCTGATTTCAATGACAGTGTTTTTTTGACACTGACCGACTGAAAATGACTAATGCTGACTGTTATGCGACACAATGGTGGCGCCTCTATCCAATGGTATTAAAGTTTATCCCCCAACGCTGTGTGTGAATGTCCTCATGTGTTCTCGGCCAAAAATGGACTCACCAATATGTTAACTTGTTGTTTCTCTGAATGCAATCTTTCCCGCCAGGAAAAAGCGAAGGTTTGAGTTTTATGTTTGAAACTCTCTTCTTGCATACTGCTCTTTGAGATGTTGAGTCTGACTTTGCATTGTGTCCTTGTGTTGCCCTGGATTTTTTACCTGTTTGAATGGTTTGACACTCCTCTACCTGAAGCAGTCCACTGGGTTTCACAAAGAGTAGAAAGCAATTGCCTCTTTGTCCTTGTCTCTTTAGGAGCATCCCAGACCGAAATACGAAACAATACTCCTTCAGAAGAGGCAGAGTAAGAAGAAAAATAAGAAGAACAAAAATGAGGTGGGCAGGATTTTTTTTTTTTCATGCTTTATGCATAATGCAGGCATTTCATTAATGGCTGAGTTAAAAAGATCTAAATATATTTCCTTTTGGCTCCTGGCTAAGGAGCAATATGCAAATGCTTTATTGAAAAGAGTCAAAAAGGGAACAGCCATGGTTGTAGGGGCAGAGATCAGGGGGTGCCAAATGCCGTGAGCCTTCCCATCATGCACGGCACTGGCCTGAAGCATTTGGCACCGGCGCTTTCGGGGCTCGTAGGCTGCACTTTGCGTTGGTGATGCCCAAGAAAAAAGAATGATCTGGTCTGGTTTATGGAAAACCAAGATTTGCATTGTTAGCTAGAGTTTTGCCCTCTGTCGCCAGCGATTGTGTGACGGTTAAGATCTGTGTGTTCCAGCCTGAGAGAGTTGTGGACGAGAGCGGGGAACTGGGGAAGGACAAATGGAGGCAGAGGTTACTGTCAGCCATGGCAGCTGGGAATCCGGTAAATGGTGCTCTCTCTTTCTCTCTCTATCTCATTCTCGCCTCAGTCTCTCCAGAGCCTTGTTTCCACCTGCTTGTGTTATAGTTTCTATATAAAACTCCCTAGTTGTGAGATTGGAAGGTTTTGAACTGTAATGCTGTGTGACAGCATCCTAACCCAGCAATCCAACTCTGTCTTCATTTTGAAAGTTTTTTGCGCTGTCTACAGGCAAAAACATTGTTTCCTCATGCGCAGGCCAGTTTTGAGTTTTCGGGCTATTTGGCTTTTCATAATGTGTGGTTTGAAAAGAAATCCTCTAAAATGAACTTTTATATGTTTATTACGGTATTTGCGCCAGAACATTTGAATCAAAATACTTATATTTAAAGGCTGTTTCCTCAAGTTTTTCCCTCATGCACTGAGCCAGAAACCTCCACTTTAGTAGCACTAACCAAACTTTCCACTTGTATTCCTATATATGTTCTGAGGGTTTTTACTGGGGTGCTTGTTCATATTTCATTTGCGTGACACATATACAACAAGCCTGTTCTGTAAATGTATGCAAATTAGTGCATATTTAATTGGATAATGCCTAATTTGCATATTTATATGCATAAGTTTGAAACATGAGGTTTACACACCGGTCTGTTATTGTAGGGACATCGACGTTACATTTTCATGCCCCTAAACATAACGTGGAACAAAACTAACCACTGTGATTGATTGATTTACATGTCAGTCATATGACCTCTGGCGGTCATTAGCCAATGAAAGCTGCTATGGAGTCTGGACTTTCTGCCGGCAGTCTACCACTTTGTCTGTGGCTGGCCAATTTGAGCGACGAGAACATAAATTAATAATGAAAATTCGAGTAAATATCTGTTAATCCTCTATGTGGTTGCTATTTACATCTCATATCATTTGTAAACTCTTCTACCATGGCAATGACTGACGTATTTGTATAAGGCCTACATTCCAAAGAGCTCTGTTATCAGCCCTAAATTTGGACAATGATCCAAAGCAAAGAGAACGGTTTGACCCGACATTGGAAAAGCAACTCATTAGATAATTGTTTTATAATTACAATTTCCTGTCAATAACTTTGAAAGAATAACTTAGGCTCATGCACAGCACTTTTAGTGAAAGAATTTGAGTCCCTTTTAATTTGCAAATGGCCCATGTGTCTGTCAGAGGGGCTCAGCTGGGTGGGGTGGTCACAACGGGGTCGTTGGCATGAGAAATACGGCCGTCTCTCACTCCTGTAATCCTCTTGCTGTAGGACGTGCATGTCGGGCTAATACAATTAGATCTCATCAGCTCGCTCTTTCGGTTTCACGTTACCCGACATTAGTCACATCCAGATAACATTAAAGGTCAAGTGTGCTTGTGAGCTGTTGTTTAGTAGTAAATGCACTGCAGGTCACTATAAAACATATGCTCAGTAAATAAATATGTTGTCCAGGAAGGTCTCATTACATCATACTGATCACACGTAAGGTGTGACCCTCAGAGATTTGAGCGTTTCGATCGGAAAATGTAGGTTGCGCTCGTTAGTTTGACATCATTTGTGGCCGTTGTCATGCATGAAGTGTAATTGGGCAAATAAGCCAAATAAATAAGACTTGTTTGTTGAGACATGACGTGGCTTTTAAACAGGTACACCAGCATCCGTAGCCTTGTTCCTCTCTGTGTGTGTGTGTGTGTGTGTGTGTGTGTGTGTGTGTGATGTTACGAGTCCAACTGTGTTAGTAGTTCAAGCTTCTTAAGGTTTCCCAGGGTTTGTAGAACATTAATTCTGGTTTAAAATCAAGCCTGGATTCACTGTGGGGTTTGCTGCCTTAAAGATTATTTTTAAAAAATAAAAAAAATCTATTCAATCCGTTGGGAATTAAAATGTTTACAAGGCTGCTACAATGAGGGCTTACAGGGGCTTACATAAAAGTCACTGGACTGCATTTGCTAAAAGTTCTTGGCACCAAATCTAGATAGACAAAAGAAATAAATTAAAGGCAGTCGATAGCAAGTAAATATGATATCCTATGTCAGATCTATCTTTCCATGATGACATGTAAAAAAAACTGAATATCCATAAAACGAGATACATTTAATTGTGAAGCAAAACTATTTAAGTCTTGTTTTCAGTATTGTTTGTCCTTGTATGCAAATTGGCAATGTTCTTTATATTGTAAGCATAAATATCTATTATTATACTAAAATCTAAATAAGAAAACAAGCTTTTTATGCAATTTTGGTCATCAATAAATGGTGTATCTTGTAAAAAATATCTTTTGGAAAGTGTTAGTGGAAAAGCTGTTTTTTTTTTATTATTCATTATTATTATTATAAAATCAGTTTGATTTGGCAAGTATTGTGTATAAGCAGTGAAAGATAATTAAAGAGACATGTTTTTCTTTCATTCCCGTAGTAAAGGTTCAGCAATAATTTGTTCTGCTTTCATCTTGCATCTATATTCCTTATTAAAACTTGTTTAGTACAGGAGAGATGCATGCGGCATACTTTTGGACAGATTTAGTGACCTTTGACCTAATGTGTAGCCTATTTTTTTGTGTCCAAAAGTCACAGATTTAAATTTGTCACTTGCATTATGGCTCTTTTCCCTCATTCTTATGTTTAGCTACTCTGCCCCAGATATCATGGCCTACGGTCAGTCCTGACCTAGATGTTCTGCAGAACCTGAAATCGAGACCATACATCCTAATGACTTAATTCAAAACACCCTGGACTTAGATATGTAGTATTCTTATAATCAAATCAGCATTGGCGGTTTAGGTTGTTGCGAACGGAGCAGTTTTTACTTAATCTTTATGTGGGTGATAAACAATCAGTAGTTCAGATATTATCCAGCACATATTCACTGTAGAGCAAATAAGCAGCAGTCACCAGGGTCTAGTTTGATGCTCATCAGTTTCTGACCGCTTTCTGTAAGCGATGTTGTGGTGGATAGGTTGTAAAAACTACTACATACAGGATTTCGCGACTGAGTGTTGATAGACCTCCTCGTGTTTCTCACAGCTCATTTGTTTTGCCGCAAAGCCCCAAAACTCTTGGAATAAACCAATAAATACTGGAGAGGAAGTATGTCTTGCAGATTCATTTAAGAGTGACAGTTTGTGGTGACTGCGAAGAGAGCGGATGATGAAAGGTATTACGTTAAGGGAGTAAAAAGAATGTGCCTGCTTATTTTTCTTCACACGCTTGCAGAGTATGTTTATTATTTGTTAATGTATGAAGTTTTCAATGAGAGATTAGAGACTTGCTGTGCAAGTTTAAGAGACGATAATTCGATTCAGTTCAGTTTGCTACACAGTCAGACCAGCAGAGAGCACTAGACTCCAGTGCGTTTTTGCATATATGCAAGCGTCCTTCCATAAGCCGGGCTGAACGCCAAACCTCTGAATTAAGCAAAGTCCTTACATCTCCATGGAGACACGGGACGGGGACACTCGAATCCCACTCCCTCTTACGCTCGGTTGGGTTTGCCCTTATCTTCGGCTCGTTAAAAGCCTTCATCGCATAACTATGTCATCTTGGCAGCTATCTTTAGGACACATTGGTGACGTTTGTTAATAAAATGCAGCACACTCTTTGCGATACTAATTTTAGAACAAAATGTTTTCATCGCCTTCAGAAGCAAAGTAAGGGAACATTCCTTATTATCTTTGAGGAGGAGAGTTGCAGTTGCTTTCTGAAAGTGTGCATCTGGCTCGGTAGGAGAAGATAAAATGATTGACCTCTGGCTGGGCTGTTATTTGTGCTTTTCCAATGCAGATGGATTTCTTTTTACATTCTGCCTTCAGTTCTATTCACTCTGGGTAAAAAGGCCTAAAACTTTCTTTGGCTAAAATATTAAGACATTAAGATTAAGATTAAAATATTAAGATTAAGTAGTAGCAAGTAAACATCTGTGTATTGTGCTTTCATTCAGATTTACCTTGCCCTAAATGTCCTGTAAAAACAACCTTTATACACTAAAACAAACTATATGAACAATAAGTTTAATTTTACCTCATTAAAGTTAAGCAATTTCAACTTTTTTACAAGTTATAAAAGATTCAACTAATTTTTAAAATCAGTTTAACGTGAAAGTTGAAATGACTTAAACTTCCAAGTTGATTGTACTTTATTGAAAATTTAAGGCAGCAACACTTTTTTGATTTTATTAGTGTCTGATCATGCTGATATTGAAGTCTGAGTAGGAAGTTTGCAACATTTAATACACAGTGTTGCATAATTGAACTGTGTTTCAAATGTCATTCGTCCTATATACAGCCTGGTGTGTTCCTGCACAAGCCGTTTATTAGAAAGATAACGATCTGAACTTCTGAAGCATGTAGGTTTCTTTGCGTATAATCCTGCTCTGGTGGTCTTCTCCGATCAGAGCAGAGAGCTGGAAGGAGATGAGAGTGTATTTTAAAGGGATTTCAATGTGTCATATGGGGCTCACATCAGATTATTCCCTTCAGTACCCGACGCCCCAAAGCCGCTCTTTAATGGACCTTCACCTCTTTTCTCGCTCATGAAGACCATAGAAGCTATTTTCGTCAGTCCACCAGTCTGAAAAATTCACTAGTAGGCTGTGCGTGTGTATTTCTAAGAAAAATTCAATCCTTTCTGTAACGTTTCGGCATCGTGTAAAGCCGAGTGTGTGGCGGCTTACGTGTTCTAGGTTGCTAGCGTGGGCGCTGGTGTGGTTCCGGTTCTTGTTCTCTCTCATCTCTGGCTTATACAGTATGCTTGCAGGGTGGGGGTTGAGAGAACGGGGCGTACAGTGACGTCAATGTGAACACGGCATCTCTGCAGAGCGACATATGGCATGGAGGAAATCCCCACACTGGTGATCCTGTAATTTCCCAAAGGGCTTAGTTGGGATGCTTGTGTGTCGTCCGCGTTTGTGAGAGAGCGTGTGGTGACCACGCGCTAACAAAACCTGAGCCCATTGATATTTTTATGTCTGCTGGGCAGATCAGTGTGGGTGATGGCAGGTTGACTTGAAGTCTCATCAATGAAGAGATCATCCCATTACAAAAGTTGCAGATGTGTAGCTTTTACATACACCCTTACAAATATAGGTTCCAAAGGGTGTTTTGCAGCAATGCCAAAGAAAAAAACATTTGGGTTTCACTTCCGCAAATAATCTTTCAGTGACCAGGACTTAAAAGAACCACTATTTTCTTGATGTGAAGAACATTAACAATCAACAAAATTTGTAATAATAATAATGAGTTCGATCAAATTTTTAGTCTTTGAGAACATTTTTGAGCATTTCTATTTGTTTTATGTAAATGTTAGCTGTAGATGTCACAACTTCTGTGCAAAGATGAGTTTACCTTTCTTTATCTTGTTGTCTTTTGAGTAATTTCTGCAGAAATCTCTAGACAGCCGAAATGAAAGACAAAGAAAGTTGCACAGCATCTTGACTTATCCTTAAGGAAGCGATATTCTCCATCCGACAGCTGTTGTACACAGAGGTAGAGCCCAACCCACTCTACAGTCACTGAGCTGTTGAATTAATCCACTGATCTATATCCAATAAATAACAGGCAGACAAAGGCTGCTGTCCTCCGCCCATATCACGCATGCACATAATCACATGTGAACCATCCTTGCCACTTTATCAACCTCTTTTGTCACAATATCTTTGAGTTTAGTTCAGGAACAATGATACTGACACTCTACTTTGGTTGCAGTTTAGTCACATTTTATATGAAACCAATCAATTAAATCTTCTGGGTTTTCAAAGGCTGAAACAACATTGAATAAAATTAAATAAAAAAATCGTTTTTTTTTTTACATTTTATGCACTTGCAATATGCTTTTATCGAAAGTGACGTATTGCATTCAAGGTAAACATTTTTTCAGTTCATGCATTCCCTTTTTATATACTAAAGTATATTTTTACATACAGTAGTTTTATTGTGCCAAATAGCTTAACTGAGAATTGTTTGTATCCATTTGTTTCACTTAAAGGTATAGTTCATCCAAAAATGAAAATTCTGTTCCAAGAAGTTGTTCCAAACCTGTATTAATTACCAAACAGTTGATGGTCACCATTAACTTCAATAATCTGGAGAACAAAAAATTACTTTGGAAGTCAATGGGGCCAATCAACTGTTTGGTTACCAATATTCTTCAAAATAGGTTCAGCAGAAGAAAGAAATTCTTGTTGTGCAAGAACAACTTGAGGGCGAGCAATTATGACAGAGTTTTCATTTTAGGTCGAACTATCCCTTTAAGTATCATTTCTCAGTTCTTCTCTGACAAATCAAATCTGCAATTTAAAAATAAAAGGTGTTAATTATTTAAAAACGATGCCACCTATCCTCTTCCTTCCTCTCTCTTTTTGTTTTTACAGTTTTCAAATGTGGTTGATTACATAAATAATGAATGCCATTCCTCTGCATTCTTTTGTCAGGCATCGTTTGTTATTGTTATTTATTGCTTAGCTTGCACGGGATCTGCGGCTGCGGAAATCCACAGAAAGATCCACAGATTTCAGCGGAATTCAAATGGCCCACATTTATAAATGTTTTATATATTTACATCCGTGTTCATCCATCACATTTACATCCATTTAGTGATTTTCCTTCACAAATCTGCACAGAAAATGAGACCAAATGTGTAGATAAAATAAAGAAGTGTGAAGTCTGCACACTGAAAGGTACTGCTGCTCCAAAAATGTATTAAAAAGCAACATTTCGACCCTCAGGTCTTCATCAGGCACAATGTGCCTACACTATTCAAAGTACTTGTGGCAGCTCAAAGCATATTTGTGGTTACAGCTTGTATGCTCAACACTGTTGCACTTGTGCCAAATACAGCGATACTTTCCATTAAATTCACAAAATAGTGTGACCATACACAGTTTCGCATTTTAAGAGGCGATTGCAGCCTGTCACCAAATAACATCATGCCTCTTAAGGAAGAGTAAGCAATCGGTGAGACCACAGACCTGCAGTAATGCCTCTCATTACAGGGTGAGGGCTTGTGAACTGAGTCTGTGGATCACAATTGCGTGACCCACATTCATTATTCTGGAGACCCTAAAGCTGTGGCATCTCGAAGGCTGTGCCTGGTTACACTTTCCAAGTTCTTGGGTGCCAGGGTTTATTCATGCATTGTGCTAGGTGGTGCTGTTTGCCTCATAATGAGTCTAATTGCAGGAGGTAGATATCTGATGTGTCTGTTTCCACTATACCATGCAAAACCCTATAAATCTCCATTCCTCAACAAATAGCTAGACAGCAACATAGGCACGGTTCCACTGCCAAGCCAGACTCTAATTCTGCAGCATTGAATATATCCTGCACAGATCCCAGAATGCATGCAACAAAGTTGAAAATGTTTTATTCATTACTGAATAGTATCAGAAATAGTTCCATCTATCCCCAAAGATGTTGATCCAGGAACATGTACTTGGTGAAATGACATTCACCAGAATGGAGCCATTAGCTTAGCAGCATTTCAGACTTTGGCACCACTTTGGCAAGTTTGCTTGAGTTTATTGAACACAATTTATCTTTGGTGGTATGGTTCCTTATGGGTTGCTCCCTAATTAATGACATACATAGCTTTAGCATTAACCCCCCTATGGAACCATTGGCTTGAGCAATATACAGATAATTAAGACAGTTAGTAATGTCCTTAAGCCGTGGTTTAACATGTAGATAAACTGTAGCTTGTATACATTGCTTGCTATGAGGAAGGGTGTGTCTCTCATGATGATGTCCGTAACAAAAAAGACGACAGCCAAAAGGTGCACAGAAAAATGCTTGATACTTATAGCGGTCAGGGTGGGGGGGGTTGCGAGCAGTTTAAGCATATTTCCCAGGCAGCCTATGCCTACGTGGCCTGTATGAACTGACGCTGTGCTCGATTATAACCTCAACTTGTTTTAGAATCAACAGCGAACAAATGAACGTTGAACATTAAATCAATCACTTTTGAGGTTAGACAATAGCTACAGGCGAAGTAGAGAAAACTAGATGTGCACTTGTTACTTTAAAAAATTTTCTCAGTAGGTTTGTCAAACACGATTATAATGGGATTTTGTCATTACATTTTTTATGACTTGAAAGACGTGCACATAAGCTGCCTCTTAACATTCCTGTGGCCTGCTAATTAATCTCGCTCTCTTCCTCAGAACTTAAGCTGAATCCATTTTTACGCTGTTTGTAACATGCATTCCTAAGAGGAACATATGCTTTGACTACTGTCGAAATTTTGGGGACTAATCTCGGTGGGAAAAGACCACCCTCATTCCACTGCTGCCTCTTGTTTTTGGCTTGATGAGGATTTTGATCTAAATGCAAAGCAGGCACTCAAGTTGTTTTAGTCACTGAAATAGGTCTTCCGTGTTGGCCGGATGTTTTGGAGATGTGATCTATCACTTGAATGTACGGAATGTACAGTACTCGCTCTAGAGGAAGGCCAGGTGTTAATGGCCGCCTTAATGTTGTCATGTTTTTACAAGTGGGCAGCTGAATTATTCCTCCTTATAGGCTAGAGTTGAGTCACTCTAAAAGCAACTCAAAAGTAAAGAGGCAAAGCTCCAAGGAAAACAGAAACACACACATTCAATCAGTGAACTGCATGCATGCTTCCATTAGTAACCTTAAATGTCGCTCTCCCTTCACAGACTGGACACGAGAAGTTAACATGGAGGGACAGGCTGCCTGGATATTTCATCAACATTTCCTCCATTCTGTTCATGGTAACTCTTGAAAATAGTTTCAATTTATGGTCATTTCCATTAAAACCAAATATATTTGCACTTTAGTACATTTAAAATATATTAAATTGTAATTTCGAATAACACAACAATACAAATTAATCATCTATTTTGATGCTACCACATCAAAACAAGTCTTAAAATGTACAATAAAGTAAAACTACAAGTTTTCTATTTAATTCATATGTGACTCTGGATCACAAATCCAGTCACAAAGGACAGTTTTTTTCAATTGAGAGCAAATTAAAGCTTTCCATTTCATCCTAAAAAGAAAGTCTTATCCTTCCTGTCTGATGCAATGGTTTCTTGCCCTTATTTTATTTCTCATCCATTGCTTCTTGTTCCTCTCTGCCTGTAGTTTGGAGTGACGTGCTCTGCCGTGTTCAGTGTCATCATTTACCGCATCACCATCTCCGCACTCATGGCAATGAGCCCAGACCCAGATGTCAAGTCTAACGTCCGAGTGACCGTCACGGCCACCGCCGTCATCATCAACCTGGTGGTCATTCTCATTCTAGACGAGATCTACGGCATGGTGGCTGCCTGGCTCACAGAACTGGGTGAGATTTGACCACCCATATTACAGCCTCTGTATTGTTGATGTGCATCACCTTTGGTCAACTTATCTATTTTTTTACATGTCCTTCTTCCCCTATTCGCTCACCCACACGGCATGAATCTTTGATTTAAACCACTCCAGGAATGTTGGAGAAACTTTTCTTGTCAGTTAACCATCACCGAGATTTCCTTAAGAGACGTTTTAATAAATGAGAGTCTCTGGGGAAATGCAGGGAAGGAAGGAAAAGGAGAAAGCATGTGTTATCATCTCGTGAATAAGACATAGATTTCCCCGTACTTCTTTGATTTTTACTCACCCTAATGCTTTAACCTACTTCCAAACCCATTCATTCATGCTTGAATATGTTTTACCAAACTATGAATTTGGGCTCTTTCTCGAGCCTATTAATGAAATATGAATTTATTGCCAAAACCAATGTGGCACTGCCTGTAATCTGTTGTGGCAGATGAAGATTTAGGAAACACCAGAAAACATGTAATTCCCGCCCAAACGCAACCATACCAGCTTTTGTAATTGTCTGCAGTTTATCCACATATTTGTCTAAATCCCAAATAATTTAATCAATGTGTCTGCAGAGATCCCTAAAACAGAGACCAACTTTGAGGAGCGTCTGATTCTGAAGGCTTTCCTCCTGAAGTTCATGAATGCCTATGCACCCATCTTCTACGTGGCCTTCTTTAAAGGGAGGTAGGTGGTTCAACCAAGTTCAACCCCAAAAACAAAAAGAGAAAAACGCACAAACACGAACATATTTAGCTTCTGGTAAATGTGAAGAAACATCTGGCTTCAAATAAGGCAGGCATGTGACCCTTGACACTTCCTTTCTTGGGGTGAGATATATCCTGTGACCCTTATTCATGGGTTTTTTACAGGTTTGCAGGCCGCCCCGGTGACTACGTTTATGTCTTCAATGACTACCGTATGGAAGAGGTAAGTACGGTTTGTCTTTTGTTGCATCCTTTCTGATGACTATAACACCATGTTCAATGTTAGGGCTGCATTGAAACAGCTAAGGAAGCAATTTATCTCCACAAATGCTCCAACTATCCTCGCTTGTAATGAGAAACATTTATTAAAAGTTTTCCACCAAAATAAAAGTGGTTTAAGGTTTGAAAATGACGCAAGGAAGACAGCCATAAATGGTAACACTTTACTTGAAGGGGTCTGCATAAGACTAACATGACATCTTCATAATCATGACATGACACATGTTATGAATATGAAGGAAGTTTTATGCATGTTTGTGACAACTGTTATCAAGTGTCTTTCGCTCAATTAAGACATTTTTAATGCAAATATGACATTGTTTGAGATGTCTTTGTCATGACAACTTGACATTACTAAAACAACACAACCTGTCATAAACATGACATAGCAGATTAATGGGCTATATGCACGCATAAGTTCCGCATTTGACGCAAGGATGCTCGTCAGTTCCCGATTGGGGAGATTAAAGCGGTGGAAAATCGAGGAAAATGGGATTATGGCAGAGTCTTCAAAATGTACTGTCCTCCAGTCTTTGAAACGAAACTTTCATACGTTTAGATGTAATTTTATATATAGTTATGTTTATTTAATATAATTTTAAAAAGAAGCATAAACACAACGAGGGGTGTCTGTTTTTGTGACTAACGTTTCTTTACTATACCCATGGAGTATAAAATTCAACATAAATTCTCAGGATTGCATTGGACTCTACGATAGGCGGAAGTTATCGAGCATCCTTACACCTACACCGGAAATACCGCCGTGCATAGAGCCCATTACCAAACTTAAGAAACCACCTAGCTTTATTGGTTAATTTTACATTAAACTGTCAGGTGGTTGGTTTTGACATTGGCTGTCATGAAGCCATTATAACATTTTAATGACAAAAAATATTCATGACAGTTATAATGGCCTCATGACAGCCAATGTCAAAACCTACCACATGACTGTTTAACTTACTTTAATGTCAAGATGTCATAACAAAGACATTTTAAACAATGTCATTATTGAGCGAAAGACACTTGATGACAGTTGTCATAACATGCATAAACCCTATTTCATATTCATGATGACATATGTCAAGGTGTCATGCCAGTCTTATGCACACCCCTTCAAGTTAAGTGTTACCCCATAAATAGTAGCATTGTAATTTTCAAGTTGTACTGTAAAATAAAATAATAATAATTGCGCAACTTTATTCAACATCATGACTCTGTCGTAATATATTTTATCTTTTCTTTCCAGTGTGCTCCTGGCGGCTGTCTAATTGAACTCTGCATCCAGCTCAGTATCATCATGTTGGGGAAGCAGCTTATTCAAAATAACATCTTTGAGATTGGCATACCGTAGGTTCCCGCTCCTCTCAGTGGATCTCATAAAACATGCTCTACCACTAAACAAAATAGCTTTTCAATCTGGAAACTTTAGAAAGATCATTCCTTCAGATAAACAGTAACGTACTGCTCCTGCCAAAGTTGGTTATAGTACAGCAAATCCTGAGATTGTAAGGTGGGCTTCTCTCAAACTGCCTACTCCAATCCCTGCATGACTTTCTGTCTTATTTTGCTGTTTTTTATCTTTCTTTAATTCATTTTAATCTCTCTTTGCACACGGGAAACTTGCTTGCATGCCCGTCCTTGTACTCTAATAGACTGGATTCCTGTCTCATTTCTCATGTTTGCACAAGCGCCGCACCACGTCATTAATGAACAAGTTAAAATGCAAATCACCATGACTGATATTTGGGTGTTATATTAAGTAATGTCTGTACTTGCAGAGCATGTAAACACAGAGAGATAAATCATCACATGTATCTTGAGTATGTGGTATGCATGCATGCATTAATACTTGTGCATATGGAACGATTGCAAAAATCTGGGACGAGATTTCCCCTGGGTGGCTGAAAGGACCTCTGAGTCGTGGACTTCCATTCTGTGGAAATCCCTTTTTAACCTATTTCTGCTCGTCCTTCACAAGTACACCAGCTACAGCTCATTCTTTGTGTTATTTTTTCTCTATATCCATTTCATTTCCACACAGATCTCTTTGATATGTGCAATTCTGAAACACAGTTTTTTTGCGAGTTATCTGATGAACATGAGTACTTTTTATTTATGATTCATCATATGACTACATACTTTATCTCAACCTCTATCTCTATTGTCATGCATTTTGGTCCATTTACATAAACTCACTCGACTCATTGAAAGTGAAAGTGGCCAGAAACACTCAAGGCACCTGCCTTTTGTTTCTTGTGGCATGCAACCAAAATACGTCTTCTTTACGGACTACAACAGCAACTCAACGTGAGTTGATTGACAGCAGAGTAGCAAGAGTTCAGATCAGCTCAGTTTTTCCTCTTTCTTGTCTTGTTTGCCCTCACTCTAGTTGTAAACCGTGTGTGAACATGTATAAAGTCTGCGCCTACAAGTCTTTGGCATGTTCCACAAAATTGTCATTGCAGTTGACCTTTCTATCATCCTGTTTCACCTCTGAGGTTGTTCAGATTGCTGAGAAGAACTAAGTAGTTAATTTAAGAATGCAAATAAAAAAAGCAATACGGCCCATGAGGGGAGAACAATGTCAAACCCATTCTCCCGTGAAGTTCTATAAATACTCGCCTTGAATTTCTTTTTTTCGGGGAGAACGCACAGAAGTGGTCTTTGGTGGAAACGTACCACGACGACTCGAGATCCCTGACCTACTTAATAGATCTAATCTCCCCACAGACAATGCCATCCCACAATATTACACTAACGTGCATGCTAAAAACAGAGCCTTGTATGTTTAAAAGGGTGCTTCATCTTTTTTTTTAGGTCGGTTTTAGTTGACCAGTCGTTTTCCACCAGTAGAGGTTTGCGTGTCATTCTAGCACATTCCCAAATGCAAATTCATTCCAACAGCTGGTAAACGAGAGCTTTATCACGGATGGAGGAAAGCACTTATGATACAAAGGCGAGCATTAAAAAGTAATGTGCTGGAAAAGGCTGTAGTTTTGAAGACTAAATAATGCAGCAGATGCAGGGTTTTATTGGGAGTGTTAATAGGCTATAGACGGATGGGCCACACGGACCATTTCGTCCACTATATTTGGCCAGTCCAACGTGAGCTGTCATGCTCCCGCACTTGTTCTCCTGATGAGGACTCTCCAAACACAAAGGTTTGAACACAGAGCGATGCCTGTGCACTTTTTGACTGGGGTCAAAGTATGTTGTGGTTGTGATTGCATGGCATGTTTGCTTGGTGCTTTTAGGGTGAAATATATCCAGTGACATTGAGCTTTTGAATTTTACAACTTGGGTCATTATATCAATTTACCTTGTTTTTAAAACCCAACTTTTCTTTGCTGAAATCCCAAACTGTTTAATGAGAAGTTTATGAGAGAAGTTTGTCTTTATATGTGGAATAGCTCCAAACACAGTTATTTAGTGTCACCACCAACTGATGAACGTCCTGTGATCTCCACTGGCTCTTTTGGGTACTGTCTGGTGTTTTTGAGTTGTAACAGAAACATGTAGGACCTACAGTCATGCTGTTTGTGTTCTTGGTTTTTAGCATTGAATTGAGAGATTTAATGTGCTAGAACGTTCTGTATGGATTGACTAATCGACAGATTTGCTGTATAGATTTGCATTCTTTTTGCTTTTGTTCTTTTCCACGTAACCAAGCTGGAACAGACAGCCTTGTGTCTGTGTGGTTTGAAGTAAAAAACGAAACAAGTGAACAGATGTGTACAATAATGAGATTTCCAGAGAGTTCTTTTGAGTCTTCTACGTACAGTATGTGTATATCAAATTAACTGGTCTGTCTCCTGTATGCCCCTGGTTTCATGATTAATTGGTTCAATTAATCATGAAACATCTGACCAAGTTCATTCTCCTGCTATCACTGAACTGATTCACTTAAAGGAATAGAGTGCAACAGTTGGGTTCTTGAAGTAAAAACTCCATTAATTTTCTCCATAGGGAAACTGACTTTTAACTTATAACTTTTAAAGACAGACCTACTGTGAGCTACAAGGGGAATTGGCTTCTGTTCAAACCATCATCCTGCATTATTTCAACTTACTTTTAAAATAATATTGTTTAACAGTGGAATTCGGGGTGACAAACTACAGTACATTAGCCACGATGCTGTACAGACAATTAGACCAATCATAGAGTAGAGATCAGCAAAACTCCACCCACTCACTGTGAATGACGTTCCCGAGTCAATCTCACACCGCTCTCAAAAATACTTAAATATTTGTATATATACTCAATATATTCAAACACAGTCAATCATAAATTGTCCTACCAGTTGCGTCTTTGAATGATCTGTAATCATAGGATCCTTTTCCAGGAATAAATGAGTGAACCAACTGAACTCTCTACAAACATTTAAATGCCATGCTCTCTCTGTGGGTGTGCAGGCAAATATAGTCCCAAAAGCTACTTCCCCAAAAGTTGGTTCCACCAACTTTTGTTGCATGGATACCCCCTGTAATTTGGGAGTGCTCTGTACAACTACAGCAAAGTAACCCTGAATTGACACAACAAATATATATATATATATATATATATATATATATATATATATATATATGCATATTTTGCAATAAACTTAAAAGGTATTAATCTTCTATATACAATTAACATTTTAAAATGAATAGTTGTATGGTTTATTTATTTATTTATTTACTGTTTATTTGAATAGGGACAGATACAAAAAAACATCGATTATTACATAAAGAACAATCCGATGCCTGTATCATAGTGTTTATAGCCAAGGCTAATTCGCAACACCAGTCCCTAGAAGGGCTTTTAACAATCAAAAAGGAGAGGTTCTCCATTGTTTTTAATTTGATTGTGCTGCCATGCATCATGGGATTGTAGTTCTTTCTTTCACTAAAGCCATTAAGTACACAGTCTTGCACCTTTTTATTTTTGTCTGATTTTCAAATGCTTTTTTTTTTTTGCTTCAAAGTTTGTAATGTTATGATTAACCTTGAAGTTGGTTGCTTTGGTCCATGGCTTATAATGCTTTAACAAAGACTTTTTAAACACCCCTATGGTAAAAATGAATGCAAAAAAATACCTCCTGAAGCAATGCCGCTGAAAAAGTGAGCATGCACTGCTGCACTCTATTTAAATCAAGTTAAAGCTCAGAAGCCACAAGCAAGTTTAATATGATGTTATAAGAACAATTTTCTAAAAATTAATTAGTGATGTTTGCCCGTTCTAAGGCGTTCTGTGTCGTATAGCCTATATACACAGTATATATCACACAAATATATACGTTTTCTGTGTGACTTTACATATAGCCAAAATAATACCTCCTCAAGTAAGTTTGTAGCACAAGAAAAGTGCAGTCACTTTGGTTTTGAAAAAAAAAACAAAAAACATCCAGCTCTATTTATGAGCAATAAAAGTTCAGTAAAAACAAACAAAGCATACATCTTGTTGATGAGCCATGTGTTTGCATAAAATTCATATGCAGTTCTTAGAAACAAACCTGACACTTGACTCACTATCAAATCTGGGATCATGTTGGCTGCAAGGTCAAGTTTATAGCAACGGTTTGTGTGTTTACATTCTGTCTCTCTCTCTTTCTCCCTCTCATTTCCCGCTTTAGAAAGCTGAAGAAGCTGTGCCGCACGCTAAAGGATAAGGAGCGGGACCCCAAGGAGATTGTGGAGCAGCCAGGACGCCGCCAACAATGGCATCTGGACTATGACCTGGAGCCTTTTGACGGACTCACACCTGAATACATGGAGATGAGTGAGTGAAACTCAACTGTGTAAAAGCGAAAGTAGAGCGTCCTCAGGGTGAAGTGCGGTGAAAAAACATCTGGTTACTTTAACTTGTCCCCTTCGGTGGGAATTTGTTGTCAGAGGAATGCTTTGGTCTTTGGATTTAACACGCACCAGAGTTTCACGAAAGATGCTAAAACTCTGTTATTCGAGTTTCTTAACAGTTTAAAGGGTAACAACTATGAATGAGCTCGTGAATTAGACCAATAGCCCCTGCATTTGTTTTACATCTGTGTTTAAAACCGGGAAAGGGCCTACATTCGCTAACATGTGGCTTGCAGTGATAGACAACTTGTGTGAGTGTTTATGTGACAGTGTCTGCAAAAGATCTGAATGCCTAGTAAACATATGAAAAACAATCTAAACTTGCATTTATACAACCCAGTTGTGCAGAGAACGCAAGACACCGGCCGATGTTTCATGACACATTTGCAAAAAATAGTTTTCTTTCAACAAGTTTGAAACAGCTCTGTATTAAAGGAGAACTCCGGTTAATTTTAACATTGAGCTCATTTTTTTTGTACATCTGGAGTGCTGTCAGTACAGACAAAAACGACAAAAATCTGTGTTGCCTACACCGTGTTATCCTCTTTTTAAAATTCGCACCCTGTTGACTTCAATGGGGCATATTCTAAACCTGCTTTAGGCCTCTTAACATCCTTAATTTGCCATTACGAGTGCACAGCCATATGAGTCGTGTTATTAAGAGTGACCACAGTCAATCTGACTGCAGTAGATGTGAAAGATATGAATAAAAATGATTTTAATTCAGCCAGCTCACATACCTCTCTTTGCTTCCTGTTTTCGGTCGAAGCCCACAGTAGTCGCTTGTCGAGTTCACGTGCGCGATCATTGGTGAATATCATCTGTAAAAAATTGAATATCATTGGTATCATTGGTAAAACAATTAGCTCAAAGTTAAAATTGACCGGAGTTCTCCTTTAAACAATTTTTTTGTTTTGTTTTTCTTTTATGTATTTTGCTATATAAAAATTTAATACAGGTACACAACACTATCTTCTGTGATAATCTGCCGAGTTTATTATGGTTCCGTATGATTATTGTTGATTGAGTGGTTTGATGTGGGACGGTTTAGTCCCTGGAGTGCCTGTGAGTTGCATAACAGTCTTTCAGCGACATATGCGTGAGAAAACTTTTCTCAAAAATGCATGGATGCTTTGATCCACTGCCAAGTAAAACTATGTAAAAGCACTTATGAGACTCTTTGAATCAAAGAAACAATTGGGGAGAAATTGAAGATGAACTTAGGACCTAATAACACTGGTGGGAGATCAACACCTACACACTGTAAAAGATATTCTCAGTGAGAGCAGGAGAATGAGACTCAGTCATATGGATGTTTATGTAGGATACCCTCAAGCCTGATCTCTCTCAAACCATTGTTTGGTTGCTGCACAGAAAAAAAAAAACCATGTGTCAATCAAGCCAAAGAAGGAAATGCAGTTTCCCACAAGGCTTATGTTCCATGTGTTGTTGATTGACAAATAATGACCTTGGGGTTTGACACCCGTGCTGGTAATGTTAGAAGTCAGAATGATAGTTTGTTTCTAGAAAAATTACCATATCACATTAGTAGTGGTTTTCCCATTGTAATAATTATTTAATCTATATGTGAACATATTGTATAAGGATATTTAGTAAGACTTTAATTTAGGGTCTGATTCTCACTATGAACTAGTTGCTTATTATCATGCTTATTACTAGGATATTGGCTGTTTAATAGTGCTTATAAAGCACATATTAATGTCTTATTATGCGTGACCATATCCTGTCCTATAAGCTTAACAAATACCTTACTAACTATTAATAAGCATTAATTAGGATTTTATTGAGGCAAATCATAGTTAATAGTTAGGACTCGACAGTTATATTTTCAAAATCTTAAAGGGTTAGTTCACCCAAAAATGAAAATTAAGTCATTAATTACTCACCCCCATGCTGTACCAACCCCGTAAGACCTTCGTTCATCTTCGGAACACAAATGAAGATATTTTTGATTAAATTTGAGAGCTGTATAACTACCACATTGGCTGCCTAAGGGACTGGCTCTTGACGGCCCAGAAAGTCAATGAAGAAAATGTACAAGGAAAAAAAGGAATAGTAGAATAAAGTCGTTATTTTTGTTTGTTTTTTCGCACAAAAAGTATTCTCGTCGCTTGATAAACATATAGTTGAGCCACGGTAGTCACTTGGGATATTTAAACATTTTCTTCATTGACTTTCTGGGCCGTCAAGAGGCAGTCCCTTAGGCAGCCAATGTGGTAGTTATACAGCTCTCAAATTTAATCAAAAATATCTTCATTTGTGTTCCGAAGATGAACGAAGGTCTTACGGGGTTGGTACAGCATGGGGGTGAGTAATTAATGACTTAATTTTCATTTTTTGGTGAACTAACCCTTTAATACCTGGTTACAGACTGCAGTCATGAGAACTGCATTCTAACGCACATCAATCAAACTCTAGTTTGTAATCCAAATGTCTCCGCATGTAATCTCCATGTTTGTTTGTTTTCCATTCTGCAGTCATTCAGTTTGGTTTTGTGTCGCTCTTTGTGGCCTCATTCCCCTTGGCTCCGCTTTTCGCCCTCTTAAACAATATCATCGAGATCCGCCTCGACGCCAAGAAGTTTGTCACTGAGCTTCGCAGGCCAGATGCCGTGAGGGCCAAAGATATTGGTGAAAATCTCATATCAATATTTACACCACAACAATTCACTATTGCATTCTAAATCAGACTCACTCCTGGATCTACTAAACCTCTGAATTGAAATTTTTCCTCACAGGTATCTGGTACAACATCTTGAGTGGTTTGGGAAAGTTCTCAGTCATCATCAATGTGAGTTTCTTTTATATAACTCTGCTGCTTACCATATGCTAGTCATATAAATCATTTTAATGGAATGTTTATTATATACAGGGATTCATATAGACCCCAGGGTTTATCCTCTTATTGTTTAGATAAATGAACAAGATTATTTAGACTTATATGCATGGGTTCACATTATTTATGGAAGAAATCGATTCATGTCACAATTTATGTTCTAGCATTGCACGGATGTTCTCTCAACCCTACGGTTGCTTCATGCATGTCTCAAAATTAAATGCTAAACCCCAAGCAGATTTGTTTTAATAGATGCGATGTTCCCAAAATGAGAAGTAAGCCTTATGGCAAACCTGGTAAAGATCTTTCAGCTTCTCTTTGACCTTTCTTTAAGGAAACCATATTTACTCAGCAGCACAACATCTGATTCAGTCCAGCTGTGCTGTTCTTTTAGAAATCAAGTATCCATTTAATGTTACAGCTATAAACTGGCTCTTTTATCCAATTAAATGACACCTATTATCAATGACACCGCACTGCATGTGTTCCAGTGGTCTGACACTGAAGATTTAAGTTTGTTGAAGGTTTAAGTTTGCATTGTTAAAATCACAGTTGTATGTGTAAATGAACAATGTTTACTCTTTCTCCGTGTTACCAGGACCAATAAATTCCTGTAATTTTGTCAGCAAAAGTCTGCTGGGTGATGCAAAACATGTCATTCGGTGGACTATTGACAGCAACAGGGCTTTTGTGAAAACTACAGACCGACAGATTATTTCAGTTTCAGTTTTTCCGTTTGGCTCAAAACACTGTGTTCATTATCATCGAGTTTGAAAAGGTTTTTCAGCTTTTCTGTCACGACCTTCTCTCCGGATTGATGATTATTTGCAGCCTTTAGCCACTGTTTTCATTTACTGGAAACCCCAAAATAAACATTGGAACTCTTGCACCCTGGAGTAATGCAAGTCTATACATTGTGGCTAAAAGTTTGCAAAGAAGTATTTCCTACTCAAGCAATGACTCTCGTCAAGCCTATTCAATAGGAGCAGACTGTTAGTGGCCTTGAATGGCAACATGCCCAGTGCATTATGGGAAGTTTTACTATTAATAAAACAAAAGACAACAGCCCTATTTCTCTTTTTTTCGCCTTTCTACCCCACAGGCAGCCAAGTTTAGCCAATTTGTCATGGGTAAATTGTCTTTAATGAGACTTGCTTGTTCGCAATTAAATTACAGACTCTTTTATCATTTCAGGCTTTTGTCATCTCCTTCACATCAGATTTCATCCCTCGCCTGGTCTACCAGTACATATACAGCGAGACAGGGACCATGCACGGCTTCATCAACCACACGCTCTCTTACTTTAATGTCAGCAACTTTAAACCTGGAACTGTGCCTTCAGTCTCCAGTCTCGGCAAAGACATTACAGTCTGCAGGTATGAAAAAAAATCTAACAATTTATTGAACATCCATTGCCAACCACAAAACCATGAACATTATCATCAGTAATTAGTTCAAAACTAAAGAGTATTTGTAGCCAACCTAAACAAGCACTGATTGATCACATCAAAGTGGTTCTTCGTAGGACAGTACACAGACCATAAAGAGCTGTAGCACCTTGTAAATCGTATATGAAATAAACATATGTCTGAACATACTGATCCAAGATTCTTCATCAAATTTTTCCACACCTTTACAGACCAGGTTAGTCAGGCTATCCAGATGTATTTAGTTCAATGCTGAATTACGAAGAACTGGATCAATCGACTTAATGTGAATAGGAAGTGTAGCTTGTCAGTTCTTTAGTAAGCCGAAAGCACAAATCCACCAATATATTGAACAAACAGACACGCACATGCGATTCTTTGGAAATCTACTACACTGTCAGAGGATTCTTGTGAGCCTGGTAATGAATAGACTTCTGCAGAATTTGGCTGTCGTTCACATAAACTTTTTGTTTCATTTTATAGTTAATAGTTTGCAATAAGGACTAATTTGTTAACATTAGCTAACGTATAATGAATAGACATATTTTAAAAAAATCATTATCTTTGTCAGTGTTAGTTAATAAAAAAACAATTGTTTGTGTTAGTTCACAGTGCAACTAACGTTAACAAATACAACTTTTAATTTAAAAAATGTATTAACAAACATTGAAATTACCATTAAGACTAGTAAATGTAAGTATTGTTCATTGTTAGTTTATGGTAACTAATGTAGTTAACTAATGTTACCAGATATTTAGCTACAACTAATAATGCATTTTACAATAATCTGTTCCACAGAATTCTGCAGATTTTCCTCCACTGTCAGAGCAGAAAATGCGGAAAATCGTGCACAGATTCCACGTGGGCCTTAATGCGAGAAAAAAAAAAAAAGTTTTCTAATGAAGCCAGTGCTGTTTGCTTGTGTTGATAATGATAGTAATTCTGTTCATCGTTTCTCTGGAAAGATTTATCTTTTGTTAAGATCGTAAAAACAAACAGCATTTAACCCTCACGCCCAAATCATATCCGGCAGCAGAATGGAAGAAAGAGAGATGGAGAGAAACTTCTTGATGGGACTGACGTGTGAGATCTCACCACTGCTTTGATTATCTCGGGCGGCCTTCACAACACAGATCAGACGCATGTCAAGAAAAGTGCTTTTATCAGAACCTGTCTGCTTTTCTGCTCCAAGCAGTTGAGAACGAGATTACGCTCGTTTGTTGGTGGACAGCTACTTGGACCAAAGAGAAGTGGCAATCTGATGTCTGGGTTCCTTTGACCCTCTGTCTGTTTGTGAAGAGGACAGATAGATGGAGAGGGAGCAAGAGAGCAAGCTTGTCAGTGTTCTAAAATAGAGTTGGGGAACAAATCAAGTTTTTACTGCACCATATTTGCCCTTTCTGGACCAGTATAACCAAACAAGGACTTCACCCCAAGAACCGTGTCTTTAGATGAAGCTATCTGACTGTCTGAGGAAATCAAAACCATGCAGTCTAACACATTCCACGTAGATTACTGTATATGGCCATGAAAACAACGTCTTTAGTACGTTATTAAAGACTCACAGTTTACTTTTCATAATTCAATAGAGGAAATCAAAACATTTGGGAACAGCCTGGTCTAATGAATAACGCCAATCAAAATATGACCAAGAACGTCTCCTCCTACCACAACTATATTATTCAATTGCACCTTTGTGGTTGTGGTTTTAAACGATTTAAAAGTAACAGTTGTCAGTGTCAAAACCACATGCACAATTAAATAGTTAAGGATGCAGTTCCTTCTTTTGCACTTTAAAATATCTTCATCATAATTAATTAATGCTGCTGTGTTGTTTTGCCCTTTGTGGCCTTCAAGAAGCATGTGTTTTAAATTTTCTGTTTCTTTTTATTGCAAACCACGCTGGAGATGAATTAACCTAGAAAGACTTGGAATGCCTGTTCTTTTTTCATTTCAGATACAAGGACTACAGAGAACCGCCATGGTCGACTGAGGCGTACCAGTTCTCTAAACAGTACTGGTCGGTTCTAGCTGCTCGGTTAGGTTTCGTTATATTGTTCCAGGTACGAACAACTATTTTACCATTATGCCCAAATCTGCAAGCTCTTAAAACATCCAACAGTTTGACCCGGCAAACGCCAGAAAAAAAAAAAAAAGAGTATGAATGGAGGAACGTAAATGTAAAAGCCACACAATACCTCAGCAATCTCATATTGCTGAGGTATTGTGTGGCTTTTACATTTATGTTCTTCCGTTCAACCACATATAAATGATGCAGCCTTTGCACGTTAGGAAAAATAGTCTATATTGTATGGCGGTCAGAATAAGTGCTGTAACTCATTAGAAATGTCGTGCAGTCAGCATTTGTGGGTGGAAACTAATTCTATTGAAATGCAATTAAACATTAAACCAAACAGTTCAGTCCAAAATGAAATGTCATTCAACTTCAGCATTGTTTCAAAGTACATAGTGACCAAGGCTGTGAAGCTGCTAGAGGGGCTAGAAAATAAATAACAACAATATATATCGTCTCCTGTTCCCCACCCATGAATGTATATATAAACTTGCGTGTTCTTCCACTCCTCCAGAACCTGGTGATAACCATGAGCATGCTGGTGGCCTGGGTCATCCCGGACGTGCCCAAAAACATCAGCGAGCAGCTTAAGAAGGAGAAGACTCTTCTGGTGGACGTCTTCCTAAACGAGGAAAAGGAGAAGTTGCAGCTGATCCAGAGCCTGTTCTCTAAAGATTTGACCCAAGAGCAGCAGGATGAGGTGCAGGTGTCGGATCAGACCTCGCTGCCCCTTCAGGAAACCCACACTGGACCGGTCCTTTCCGCCCCGTGCCCGGGCTCCACAGCTCCCCGCACCCGTCCCCGAGCTGCAAGCTTCAGCCAATTCACCCGCCAGATGTCCATGTCTCCCCGCAGCGACATCACCCAGCACACGGCCGTGTGAAGGAGGTCGGGCGAGAGAAGATGAGTCTACCGGTGGAGCGTGTTTAACAGTGCCTGCGCGCTAGGTTTTGAGGATTTGCCGAAGTTTGAGGCTCTGTGTTGGGAGTTTTGGGAATCAGGTGTTGTCACTCCTTTTGGTCTCTGAGCTGTATGTCTGAATGCCTGTCTACAGGCTCCACGTCTGGTTTTTAAACACACAGATGTTCCTAGCGTTTTCAGGGACATCTGACACTTGAGCTTCAATAGGACCGCTTGCAGATGCAGTTCATTCCATATGCATTGGCGTTCGTTGAGTGCAGGAACACGAGCGGGTCTCACATCCTCTTGGAACGTTTTTCTCCTTGACCTGTTCTTGAACGAGGATGTTTGTCGGGACAAACTCACAAAGAGCAGCACACATTTGGTGACGTTGCGTAATCTGTACATGCTGTCCAAATGCAAACTGCTTTGCACATTGTCCACGAGATGTAGCATATAACGGCAAATAATAACCCTTCATTTTCTCAGGTAACAGCGCCACTGTAGGCTGTATTTGTTCTCATCAATTGGGTGAATAAAGACTATGATGCGTGTTAGTAAGTTAAGGTGCAAAGAACACAATTACGATGTGGTAATGCGACGTATCCTGTGAAATGTGTGGCGTTTTGTCTTTTTAACGTCCCAGCCCTCTCATAATGCATCACATAAAGGCAATGTGTAATTAAACTCAAGTTTGTCAATCCATATATTTATGCTACGCCTCCTTCTGATAAACTGCGGGGCTGTAGATTGGGATCACACAGCATTCGCTGTATTTATGATTGTGGAGCAGCTGGTCTTTTTGTGCCATGTCATCTGTAATCATCCCATGAATTTGCCGTCACTGGTGTGGGAAGGTTGAAGGGGGGTTACTGTCATCCAGGGAGGAAACATGGATAGATGTTGTGTGCCAACATCTGGCCATCAAGTCATCATTCACTATGCCTCATAGGACTTAATACTCATGCAAGAAGAATAAATATTTAATCCCAATTATGCGCTTGTGGATTTTCTTTCTCCCCTCAAGGCATTGTGCTACGAGTCCCGCGGGGTCAATTCACTTGTGTTCCTGACTTCTAGCAGCTGCGCATGTTGTTTGTAATACCCTGATGATGCTTAACAAAGCTAGCTTTACCCAGTAGACACTGCTTCTCTATTCTCTTTTTCAGATTTACCACGGCAGGATTTTGATCTTTTTTTGTGCGTTTTCACCCCAGAGCCACATTTGACTTATCCCCGAGGTCTGGACTTTACAATTCAAGAGGATTAAGATCTTGGCATTTACCATGAAGTCTATCCTATGTGCTTTATAGTGTCATTACAAAACCAGGCTGAAAGATATACACAAATATTTGTATTTCCCAGAGCTTAAAAGGCATAAGATATGAGCAAAAGTTAAGCAGCTCAAGTCCAGAGGACTGCCACCGAGCAACTCACCAGCCCAGCTTGAATGGCCATCTCATTTGACGGGTATCTATAAGGTTGAGGCGTGTTTTTTCACCACCTTCGGCCTCTACTGGTTGCTACGTAGATGAAAGTTGGACAGGCTGATACGGCAGTCTACGGCACACTAGATAAATCCAACATCAGGCAAAAACAAAATAAGTTCATTAAGTGATGCAATGTTTGAAATACTTTTTTTGTTATCAGAAATTATTACTGTGACAAGTTTTCAATTATTAGCTTTTAAAAATGTACTGATATGACTTATGAGGTGCTTTATGAGTAAGTGTACATGACTTGAAACATACATAAACATATACAATTCAAAATTTGCTAAGGGGTTATTAAATATAACAAATCGTGTCATAAAAATCATCTGTAAAGTTTATTACATCAGCATATGAAAGTAAAAATTGGAGGGACTCGTCTCAAGAACACTCATTTAACAGTTCATCTATTGCCAAAAAGATCAGCCAAGTATAGACAATTATTGAAAACATCCAGTAGTGTGGGTATCCAGGAAATGCGTGACTCGCTGGACCTCTGCTTTGAGTAGCCTAGCTAAATGTGTAGCATGTGCACGTTTTTTTTTTGACAGACATCGATGTTGTGATATTTTAAATGATGTGGATTTGAAAGCAGATGGACCCTAAGGTAATAATTATTTATTTCTTAGCTGCCAAGTATTCAGTGAAGTGATTGATGCCCAAGGGTGTGCGGTTTTACTCAAGATAACGTTAACTTAAAAGGAGCGAGCAAAGATTAGCATAACCAATGTCCCTCACATGTGCAGATTGATATTTAAACGTTTTATATTTTTTCTTTTTCACAGTAACGTTTAGATATTTAAATGGAATAAAACGCCAGTAACAAAGTGAACTAGGTAGGTTAGCTGATTACCTTAAAAATCCATAGATATCCTGACGGCCGTTGACACTTTTCTCTGAAAAGCGGATGCGATGAGACCCGTTTTCCGGTTTGGTCACGTGGCGCTCGGCATAAAGAAACGCTTTTTTGCACAGTTCGTTACTTATTTTCTGGAAATTAGTTATTTTGTTTCTCAGAGACTGACTTGTTTGGCTTGTCAAAAACGTATGATGGAGGTTTTGATGAACAAAGTTGTTTTAATTGTGTCTAATAACAAAAGGCTTTTATTTTAAACCCATAAAAATTCAGTAAAATCACTTTTTAATACTGTTGCTACCTGAATAGTATATTAATTTCTTTAATATAAGAAGGCCTAATATAATAAGTAATTTCTATATTTTTTAATATTACTTGCACCACATAGCCTACACTGTAATACTTTTTAAAGGTCTGAGATATTTTGCAAATGTATTTTAATTTCTAAAAAGGAATCATAACAATAAACATAGGCTATATTATGGGAAAAATATGAAAATATGAAGCTACACTATTTGTTGCAAAATCAGGCAAACAATAACAATAGCAAGCTTTTGACCTACATCCATTGGCTCTTCCAATGTTGATGTAATACTCTTGGCTTCATTAAACAAAAAAGATGACAAGACCTCTTTCAAAATGAAATAAAATCTTGACGAAAAATCAGATTGGAGTTCTTAAGGTTTTAAGATTTAATAAAGGTTTTCAAGTGCGTGTACTCTTGCACAATCACAATTCAACTTGCTGCATGCTGCCGGCCGGATGGAAGTATCTTGTTTGTATGTAATCTTCTCCAAAGCCTTTATTCATCACACACAGCAGTGAAACAAGAGCAGGGACAGATTTACCGGGTAATTAGGATTGGTTCTCTGTGTCTTACTGATTGGTGAGCAAATGTTCTCTATCTTGGTTATGCATAACATCCGCCTACACAGCGTAGTATTAGTTACATCAGTGATATTGTGGTTGTGATTGACTGCAACGTATTCTCGCTCTAGTTGAAGACACGCAATGCCGTGCTGGTACATGGTAGGATTGTGATGTCAGAGGCTGGTTTCTGAATATAACATCGGCACATGGGGATGAGAAAGGAACCTGGAATGAGATCTGTGACAAACCTGAATCTCTCTCTCCCACAGGGCATTCCTTCTTAGGGTGAGATGACGCACAGGGTGGTCACTTAAAATGCTGGAGTCAATGCATTGTTAATGTGCGGAGGATTTTTGATAAGCCTAACTGAAGCACAGCATCACTAAATTAACAGAGGACACCTGCAGAGTTTCAAAATTCCCAGGCTACATGCGTGTTTTCTGGATAATTATGCTTTGCATGCACATTTCCACTGTTAAGCTATTGTGTTTTCTAATACAACTTTTTTGCTCGATGCACGTTTCGAGACGTTACATTTAGATTCTTTATATAGCAGTTTAACATAACACTGTGTCTAAAGACAGAAGGGAGGCACTGGGGGTTGCATTCAGGTTCACTTCTTTTAAATGGCCTAAAGCACTGGCTTTTATCTCTGTCGTTACACACCAGGCTTTCACATGGTTTCAGGTGTTAGCTACACTTGAAGATCGCACCATTGTGTGTTTCCACGGAAGCTCTGCCAATGGCACATTCCATAGCCAACTAGACTGAACCTTCAGATGACCTGATTTGTGAGTGATAGCCATTCATTTCCTGTCTCTTTCTTCTTTTCCCTGTGCGGAATGGAATACTACTACTTGATTACTAAATATTATAATTGCACTGCCTACGATTTTTCAAAACTTGAAAAAATGCAACTATAAACAGTGGAAATGAAAGCTTTAGCATAAGTTCTGCCAGGAAGACTTAACTATCCAATCACATTCTTATTCTTGTCGTATAAAAGATCGGTACTTACACGTTTGAGTTTGCAGATGCCGACGCGACAACAACCTCCACCCTCCCCACCACCACCAGGATGGTCCTGTCTATACTTCCCTAGGGGGTCGGCTGCACCCCTGCCTTCGTATTCAGGCAGGAAATGCTGATCCGCTACCCTCGGATTACGATCTATGGACGGGGCCTACGCCAAAGAACTTTGCAAATACTTGCCTGCTGGGCTGCCAATAAATGGATGCTTTGTTACATCATTTTATTGCCCGAGTCTTTCTGGTAGAACGTTGTTGTCACATAAACTGATTGATTATGTTGAATGTGATCCATATGGGTTCTATATAAGTTTTTATTACATAGGAACACAGCAACCCTGGTAAATTACTATAAAATGACCAGAATTTTCCGGTACATACAGACATGCACTATTCACACAAGCAACTTGGCATATTTTTCCCGGTAAGATACCATTCACATATCAGTGCCACAACCAAATTACCGGTAAACTCGTCGGAAATTACATTTAAATAGGAAATCTTCATCCACTTGAATAAGGAGAATAGTTTTAGTTTTTAGGTCCTTTTTTATTTTATTAGTTACTTCTGAGTGACAGATGTGATGGGATGATCACACAGAATGCAGTTTTGCTCTGCATTTGAATGAAAAAAAATACGAGTCGCATAATAGTTATGACTAGCTCAAAGCAAACTTCTTAGGTCAGCAGGTCCTTACTGGTAATTTACTGTTAATGTTGCAACCTCTCATACTGGGAAATTGCCAGAACAGATGACAGTTGAAAAGGTTCAGCCATGATCTCTTTACGGTAATTTACCGGTAATTTGGACAGTGTGAAAAGGGCTAAATATTGTTCCAGTTCATTCCCACAATGCAATACATTAATGCACTTTCACTTTTTGGAAATGTATCTGCAGGTATTTCATGCAAACTGAAAACTAACAAAATGCGCACAGTATACACACCCTATGGAATGTTAGTATGCTATTCTGAACATAGCACTAGTGCTCTGCTTTGACCACATTGTAGAGTTATGAGAATCAAGGGCCATGGCCTAGAAACACTCAAAATGAGCAAAGAACTAAAATGAGTTTTGAATGACCCAAAATTGCTAGATACGTTTAATGTGCTAAATGGAGTCTAGAGGGGTGGAAGGGTGATAAAGCTGGCAGGGAAAATTACAGTTTCATTTAAGATGGAATGCTTCAGTATGGTGGGATGAATTGCCTAGAACTATTTGTTTGTTTTGGGTAAGACTCTAGCGTGCCGTAAAGTAGCATTTCATTGAAATGTGTCCTGCAGTGCACATTAAGGCTGTATAATAAATCAAAGCTGTACAGCCCAGTTACACTACTCAGTGCGGCTGTCATGAAATAAACACAACAGAGCACATGGAGGTGATGTAGAGCTGCAGCGTGCAGAGAGGGATTCTGGGATTTGAAGATGTGTGACACTAGAGACTGTAGCATTTTCTTGCCCTCAGGGGTCAGACATGTAGTAACATGATCCTGCTCTCCCTCAATGCAAGACCTGTACCACTGGAACCACCTGTTTCTTTCTCTTCCATCCTTTCTTTATGCATTCTCTATTCTCATCTATCTCCATCACCACCTTTTGTGGAGATCCCCAAAGATGCATAAAAGACTCGATGCATAAAAGACATGGGAATTAATTGGTTCTTGTTCTCTTTTGAATCTGAGCTCCTCTGTTTGTCTTTGCTTCAGGTCTCCCTCCTCACCGCAGAGTCATGCGATTTATTGTCCATTTATACTCATCTGCAAATTAGCCATAACTCATTCGGTTAGTGTCTTTAAGATGTCGAGATATGATTTCTTAAGTTGCATGATTTACTGCTTAAGTCTAAAATTAAACAGTCTTAACACATCTTAAGAAGTTACCCGACCACTACACTCATGTAATATATCATATAGTTAGCAGTTTAAGTATTTGAATGGATTGGAGTTTTACCATTTAATAGTAAACACAGTTACAGTCTCATCAGAAGGTGCTTGACGGTCTCGTTTGCAGAATCTGGATCTAGACCCAAATCCTGAAGCACAACTTGCTTCTGAAAGTCCTGCAAATGAAAAGTGAGATGCATTAATATCTGATATGATAATTGTGAGCTTCCTGAACTTTTATTGACCATTTTCTCCTTTTGCCAATGGTGTTTTTCATTTAAACATGAAATTGGAATAATATCTTCTGAAATTTTCATGAGCATTTTTTGGTGTCTGTAGATGTAATCTGTGCCTGTCTATTGCTCCGAGTCAGGTAGGTATGGTATTGGTTAGCATACTTTGCATTAGATACGTTCAACATCTGGTCACGTTCAGTCATACTTCTTTTGGGCCTCATGTGTACCTGGGAATGGTAGTGTTTCTGTGTGTGTGTTGGTCAAACCTCACCCTAAATTCCCGTAGCCGGTCTAGTTTTGCACGGATGGTCTTGCGTTGGACAGTCAGCTCGGCCACATGACTTTTCCACTGCTCTTCTTTCTCCTTTCACAGACACAAATACACAGCATGTTAATCTTGAGAGGGTCAGAAATGGTGAAGGCAGGATTCTAATACTGGGTTCATTGAGGGGCATGCAGCTTTGTAATAATATTAGGCTGTTATGAAACCATTCATTTTGATAATAACATTAAGGGGCTATATTTATGTTGTATGTTCCTTTCAAACTCTTCAGTCTACTTATAATGTTAGTCAAGGAATCTTTTACCAAATTTAGCCTTACGTAACTTTTTCCATCCTCTTTGTCTCTAATAAATAAACTGCCTGTTTGTACTTTTTCCTTATGTTCAATTAAACATCAAAATATGAGATAAATATCTTATAAAATATGAGGGAAGAAAAAAACATTAAACTTGGTCAAGGTATTTATCTGACAAATTACACTTTAAAAAATATTTTCATGATTTGTAATCACAACATTTTTTCTTTTGTCAAATCAACTTAGATATTTTATGTAGTTCAGATAACTTAATATTTCCTTTAATCTCCTTCATTGTATTAACTCATTTTTTCCATTTCAATGAACTTAAAATTTTAAGGCAACCAGGTTACTTTTTTTTTAAAGTTAAACCAACAACATTTCTTTACAGGTATGCAAAAAAAAAAAGCTCACATCAGGAAAAAGCATACATTGACTACAACATAATCAGTTGTTAACATTTCATTGCTTCAAACTTTTTTTGTATCACTGCCCAGTAAAAAAAATGCCTCATTGCATGATCAAATAAAACAATCGACTCCAGTCCAAGCGCAACAATGCAATATGCTTACAAAATCTTTAACAAATTCTTAGTATTCAAACAAAGGATGAAAATGTCAATTTTCTAAAGCAAAACATCACTTTTGGCCACTGCTTTACTTTTAAGACAATATTCAAATGACCTCCTTTATGATTGGCTAATCTCTTCGCATGTAAATACTTTAATCGTAATCAGAATGTTCCAAGTTGCTTGATACTGATGATTAGGCATTAAAATGTTCATCTGACTTCTTATAGCTTAGAAGCAAGCCTGTGTGTCCGCGGGCCGATGCAGTGAGGTAGACTCTGATGTAGGGCTGAAGGAATGAGGCTAGGCCTGACTTTGACCTATAGCTTCAGCCAGATCTTCTGTGGGTGCTACTTCCCGTCTCTAATGTGATAATATAGGCAAGGCAGCAAACGCATATGGAAGACGTTGAAACACATTGCCTTCTATTCAAACTAATAAGAGAAATAAAACAAGCTGAAACACCTCTTGCCTCAGAGGATTGAAACAGTCACAGGCTGTTCTCTACTAGTAACACACACACACGGAGGGTGAGGTTATCCGTTGGGATCTGAGGTTCGGGGGATGTAGATTATGAATGACAACAGGATCAAATAGTACGCACATGGGAAACAAAAGTAAGTACTTCTTCCCTGACCCTTCTGTACATTAATCAGACGACGGACACGCTGCAAACCTGAAAACTCCCCGGGAGACTCAGAGCAGCTGGAGAGGAAGGAAGTGAGAGCGGTGGACTGTCTGTGTGTAGCCGTTAGATATTAGAAAGACAGAACTCAAGGCAATTCCACCGACTTGACTCAGAGAGTCTTTTTTTTTTTTAACTTCATCCCATTGGGGTTTCTTCCTAAGCGAGCGTGGAGTTACAAAAAGGCGTTGCAGGAATTCCTCAAGCTGTTGAATTTATGACAACGGCCAAGTGGACAACAACAACAACATGACTGTCCTTCAGTGACCTCACACTTGGCTGTTAGACTTGGACTTTACTGGCAGCAGACCCTACGCAGCTGGGGGCTTCATCAACTTACACAAACACAGTCCCCGAGCGTCCTGCACAATAGCTACACGGTAGCATGAGCTTTCTGTTGAATCTTGAATGCACAATTTTAGTTTCACGCCCACAGACCGTTCTCTCACGGATTGTTTGCATACACATGCAAACCCATGTAAAATCACAAGCTTGGGGTGCATATAGGTTATCACCATTTCTTAAAGGGTTATAGACCTTTTTCACACAGTTATATTTTAATGTTTAAAAATGTACATTTATAACATATTTATTAGTGTTGCTAATACAATAGCTGACATCTTTCTCTCTTATGGCAAATGTAAAAAACAATTCGGAATATTTTAAAGAAATGCTATTGTGGCTTCTTTCTTTCGCTATTGGCAAATGGGACAGCAAATATTTTTTGTAGCTTGTTTCCGATCATCATGAGGACTTTGATGACTTCCGGGGCAGAACCCCGGAAAAGTGAAAAGGGTCCATAGGTTAATATTATAAAAATTTTGAGGGGAAAAAAAAAACATTTTAGTATTTTTCAAAGTTCACAAGGTTTGTGGCTTCAGGTTTTAAAAAAAATATTCAAAGTTTTTGATGTTTTACTGTACATTTATTCATTTAGCATACAAGTTAAATCAAAAGTGATTTAGATTATAAGCAATTTGTAATAAGAACATTCATATTTGCAGTGACTAATTCCAATTATAAGCTTTGTTTGTGATTTAAATTTTAAAGTTGTCTCACATACAGTGGCCAAAAGTGTGTCCAACCTAGGAAAATTGACTTCTTCACCCTGTATTTAAATATTACTAAAATGTGTTATACCAAAATAAAACCCTTAGCTGTAGTTTGACTCTTATTTAAAAATATATATGTCATATTTTGATGGTTTCATCATTAAAAGCCAATATTACCTCCCGACCTCTCTTTAGCTCACTAGTAGCAAAGTAAATATTGACACGCCAAGCTGTATATTTTGCTTTGTGTTTCTGTCAGAAATAATCTGTATTAGTTTTGGATGGACAGCAATTGGACACTTTTCACAGATTTCTCAGTGTTTTCAGTTTAAATGTCCCTGGTCGCCAAGTTTTTTGTTTTTTTTTGTTTTTTGCACACAGACTATTTTTAGTGGAATTATCTATTTACCCCACTCCTAAATGCTAGATAAAAACAAACCATACTGTAGATGATTTTTTGACATGCCAGTCAGAAGGTTATCAGCCAGAAAAAGCGGATTAAGGCAGACCAGACTCCACCTGCGCAGACTACCAAAGTCCTGTTTTTTTTTTAAATACTTTTACAGCAGAAAATTATTGCATTAGTGTGTTTATCTGGGTAACCTGGCCTTACAATACAAAGGTCATTGCATGTGCAACCAAAGTTAGGAACAATGCAGACAATGAAATCAAGCTCAATTAGCCTGACAATGCAATTCTGCCGAAGCAGGTCTGTCATCTCTGGACATACTCAGGCTGCAGATGATGGACACAGATATAATCAGTGTTATCACTGCAGACTGCAGTGACTTTTTGACATTGGTCTACATACCTTCTGCCGTTCCTCTATCTCACGTTGCTTTTCTTGTTCCAGCCGCCCTCTCTCCAGTCGACGGCGGATCTAGCAGAACAGAGAATAACGTAAGAATCGATGTGTTCATAGTGTGGAGGTTTGAGAGAAGAAAACAAGTTTACGTTTACCCTATCTTCTTGCTTTTCCTGACACTCGCTCTCCTGACATGTGTTCTCCAGACTCGTATCCTGCTTCCCAAGACTGTTTAAAAAAGTGTAGTCTTCCTCCTTACAAAGATCTCGCATGCACTGTGGATAGTAAAAAGATGCACATGATGAGATATTAATTTAGCTTTTTATTTTATGTTTTTATGTTATTTATGCCCAGCTGGTCACAGGCTATTAAATTAGTCTGATCTCAGACCAAACATGCATGAAAAAGTTGAAAACCTTAGACATGGGAATTTGAGAAAATCTGTTCGCATGAGCCATCCTAAAAAAAAAAAAAAAAGTAGAAAAGACACGTTTTTACATTTGTTACAACCATAAGTACATTTTCACTGCGTTTTAACACAACTACTGCACATACATACAGTATAGTATACCTCCTGTCTCCAATCATATAGCTGCATAATTTTTGTCAAATTCAATATCTCGGCCAGCTCACCTGGACTGGAGTTGTCTCTTTGCGCTCTCCTTTCGTTTGCTTTCCTCTCCTTTTGTAAACCTCATACAAATGGTAATAATATACAGTGACGACGTGCAAAAGACATCATAGTTATTTCTGCACAAGGCTGCTAAAAAAACACTGTGGTGCTAATAAAATTGTCCTTTCACTTTTGATTAATTGAATTTTCCCATGTCAATATGTTTCCTTCGCACTTCTGAATGAGGTTTCTGATCGTACAGATCGACAATCAGCTTCCCTGTCTCAGAACGTAATGTAGAAACCATAAGCCTGATCACGGGTCAGTATAAATGAACAGCACCTTCGAACAAATGCAATCAGCCTGCAGAAAAACACAGAGGTCAGAGTTGATTTCAGTGATGTCATTGGATCTTTTGGAATGTATAGGCTTCAAAACATGATTTGGTGGAGATGTGTTTGCGTGACACATAGGCACTTTAGCAGAAACCAGAGACGTGATCAGCAAACTGAACTAAGAATATAGATCATATGAACTTGTTTGTTGTGGGAAAACATGTATAGGTTGTAGATTTCGGCCGGAGGAAAGGTATTTGGATTGTTTTACTACTTTTAACGTTACAGCTTTCAGATGTGCCGTGGTTTAGGTGTGAAGGTCAAGGGTTGAAACATCACTTTGACAATACTTTATGATCTGAAACAAGTTATTGCCAGTGTGTTTATTAATTTAAACACTTCTAAAGAGTATTTGGACACTTATAGTTTTGGATCGTTCATTGTATGGACAAAAACAGTTCAAACGTCTTCTTTTATTTTCTACAGAAGTCTGTCATACAACTTTGAATCTTGTGATTTTTGTGTGAATTATGCCTTGAAGTCACACTTAAAGTTATGAAATACAAAAAGGTAACAGACAGAACAAGCTCACTCGTCACATACAGACGTCTGTTTTTAACTTAAACTGTAGATTAAGTTAAGTATTGACACTGATTTTTAAATGTTATTAAAGGTTGTGAGATATTAATTAATACATCCATCAAAACAACAGTTGATTAAAAAAAAGTGCAATGCAATGACATTCCCGTATTGTAAAGAAAGTGTGACTTAAGTGTCCAAATGGTCAAATAAGGTCATTGTCCCCTATATTGACAGCTGGTTAGTGCACTGTTATGGACATGTAAAGACCACTGAACGCTGGCATTTTTTATCCTTTCACCTCATTTAACTCTTTTCAGCAGTGATTTTTCAAGTTCACTCCGTCTCAGGCTTTGCTCTTAAGAACACACCGCAAGAGGATTATATGCTAATTAACCATGGCCCAGAGCTATTTTCTTCCTGTGGGTTCTGGCAAACGAATTTATTTATAGGTCACTGAAGGTTGTTTAGTCCAATGCTCCTTCCCCGTGGTTTTAAAGAGACCATCCATGTTTGATTAGAAACACACAGATCATCTCAAAATTCAAGGCTGGGAAACATTATCAGGTTCTTTTCTGGTCATTTGTGAATGATTGATTGAGATGTGTGGAACCCTACAGATGACAATAATCATAGATTCCCAAAAGGACGTAATTAGCAGGAAGATTTAAAAAAAAAACTTTATTCAGACAAATCTCACACAGACTGCCCTCGCAGCGAAAAGAGGATGGTGTAGGCCAGATAAACAGCACTCCTTCAAGTATCAGCACGAGAAAGACATTTTGAGAGACATTACCATTCTGGGAAAGTATCTCTCTCGAAAATAAAAAATAAAATAACATAAAAAAATACAAATAATGGGTATTGGGTACAGCCAATAAAAACTACTTCACTAAACAGACAAGTCTTTCCTCTTTACTAAAATAGGGACTTTCCTCGCAACTTTCTGAATTTAGACATAGCGGAGATAATTGTCTGAATATTATTAAGAAGCATGAAGTCCTTAAATAGAGTTCGGAGTGTTTTGGCACAGTTTCCTTTTCAGCATAAAAGAGTTATCCAAGGGTATCAGCAATGGCCGTTGGTCCATTATAAGGTCGGTTGTAGTGGTTTAAAGCAGCAAGAATCCTACACAGTATGCATGACACCAGCAGGGCTTTTCAAGACAGCATCAAATACATAGGAATGTTTCAGTGAAAGTCATCCAAGACTGAGCAAAGATAAAATAGTTTAGGGATCCTCATGTTCCAGTGTAATAATGAGTGTTACAGGAAAGGCAATGCATTTGGACAACTGTGTGGGCCATTCCCAGCAGTATCCTTGAAAGGTCCTGTGTTCAGCATTTTATCCTGTTTTTCCAAAGAGGGACGAACTGAAGCGGGACGTAATCAGCCGTGATATTGAATTCGAAAAAGGTGTGTTGTATCCTTGGTGGTTTGCGGTTCTGTTTCGAGTCTTCACACCCAATACAAGCACTGGATATCCGGTCACCAAGTGAAAAACAGTTCGATTTTAGTGCCTTTATCTATCCACCCTCTCATGAACCATGAAAATGCAATAAAACTAATTTTATATCAATCTTTTTATAGCCACATCATAATAAACGATTGCATGCTAATAAAGTTTTATGTTCGGACATGGAGGACAAAGTCTTGGCACTTCGCTTGATGTAGTAATGAGTTTGGACCACATTCTGGCTTATCTTGCTATGCTGATAGAGAAGTAAATATGTGTGGGTAACTAAAAATAACATCAATCCCACAAATGTTGGGTTCTATATGACGTTCCTTGGGGACACTCGGACAGTTCAGAGGTGACCTGAGTCACGTGTCACGAAGATAAGCCTGAACAAAAGCCGAGCCGCAGCTGCCTGGCTTTTAAAATGCTCTTCCCTGAACGTGCTGTCTATATGCCTCTCATGCTTTGCTTTTCGTGTTGTCTTGGGTATATCATATTTATTGTGGAGCGGTACAAAGCATGATCTACTCTGACGTATATGTAATCAATTTGATGAAGAGGCTTCCTTGAACGAACATAGAAATCTCTTCACCTTAGTGTCTCAAGACTATCGAGTGAGTAGGTCTCCTTATATAAAGGTAGAGAAGGAAAACATGGCAGGCCTTTTTATAGCCGCAGCACACCGGTGAAATACTTATCTCCTAAGATGAGTCTGACAAGAGGGAAACCCTCTTAAGGGGGAGATTACGTGTTCAAATCCCAGCTCTGCATGTATGTACAGCGTCTTATGGCAGCTTTACCTCTGTGTAAGACTACAGTGTCATTAGCAATGGCCCATTTAGATGTCCTTTTGTTTACATGCTGCTCTTATGCATGCTGGCTTCGCTCTAAGTTTGTAGATCAGCAATTGATCAAAGTGGGTGATCGAAAAGAGGCTAAAAGTGCACTAAGCTTATTTCTGGTGGTCGTGGTGGTCACACTAGTCTCTGGCGGGCTGGGCGGGGCTTCTGATGAAGGATGTGGCCAGTGGGAGGAGTCTTTGCTCACCCATCTGCTGAAAAGCCTTTTTCAGCACTACTAATTGTGTGCAGTAGTTTCATCATCCGACCCTTGCAGGTTAATATTTGGCTGCTTTCTTCCCCACTTTCCTACGGCTATGTCGGCATGTGCACAAAATGATGTCGTGAATATCACCTAAATACTTTCAGAAGGCCATCTAGAATCGATATACTGCCTAGATTGAATTTGTGAAAGACTAAACCATATTTTTATATCACTTTTTGGGATATCTATAAATATTTGACTAGAATTGTGACTAATATTCCAGTTGTTAGTGGCATTTAGATTCTTTTCCATCATGTTTTCATGGTGTACAAAAATATTTCTTAGGTATTTCATGCAGTTTCGATACACATATACTGTATGTTTACATATTTTCATACAACATCCCGACTGTGGTTTGTTTTCCCGGATACGAAAAGGATATACTGACAGCCTGTTTCAGTAGAAAAACAGGTTTTCTTGAACAATACTGAAGTTAATATGATATTGAGTTATCTGCGTTTTCCATTGCAACTGTTCCCAAGGTCTAGTGGAGTGACGTGTCCTCTGACTCTGATACGCGAGCAAGGCACAATTCAGCATGCAATGCTCCTGTAGCTTAACGGCATTGCATGTTTTCGTAAGTCTCTCTCTCTCATTCTCTCTCTTTTTTTAAAAAGATTTTCCTTTGCAAACAGCTTAAATAAATAACAAGTATATTTAAACATTATACATAGACATGTATAAACTATATGCATTCCATATAACTTAAATAATAATTTATATTTATATATTTACAGGGAACAATAGAAAGACTGGGTTGAGTGGCTGCAGTGTTTTTCACGTCCTGCGGTGTTTGCGTGAGAGTGCGCAGACGCACGAGGTGTCTATCCGTATAAAGCGCCAACCCACCCAATTATTCTCCTGAGTGAGCGCGCGCACGTAAGACTGCGAGGTTTTGCACTGCGAGTTCCAGTGCTTCTCGTCAATCCCCCGACAGCTGCCCTTGGTGTGCTTGGCGGTCTCACATTTTGTCTCGTAAAAGTACTGGTTCATGTCTTTGCCTCCCGCATTGAAGTACTTTAAAACCTTGACCTGTCGTCCCTGAATGTCCACGGCCGTAGTCCTGTCAATCACCCACTGGCTCCTACTGTCACACACAGAGAACTCGGCCCTGTAGCTTTTGTGCTCGGCGTAGCGCTTCTGCCGTGTCTTGTTGCCGTCCAGGTTACTGACGAAGTCATTCGTTAGGTAGAGCGGCGGCGGTTGCAGCGGAGGCCTTTCGCTCAGGAACACGCGTGGCGAGTTGTAACGCTTGTGCTGACGCAGCAGCTCCGACGAGATGTCCGTCACGGGCTGATAGACAGTCGAGATGTATTTCTCCTTGTAGTCGGTCGCTGCGGTTGCGTTTACGGTGGGGGAAGGAAGCGCGTCGAGGGCGTCCTGCTTCGGTCGGCTGCGGCTGATGTCGGCCTGCAGGAGCTTTATGATGAGCGTGTTAATGGGGTCCTGCGTGGGCCGCTGCTTGTCCATCGTAGAGGCTGAGATACCGTAGAGGTACGCGAGGAACATCACGTACAGCAAGATGGACATCACTAGATTCACCTGTAAGATCTGTGAAGAAACGGGAGACGTTTTTGTAAGCACACACACTGAGCAAAACGGTTTCCTTATAGTAGCAAACAAAGGAATTAACTTTAGTTTGTTGGCCCTGTAACAACACTGAATTCTCATGAAGCTCATTGTTGACATGTTGGAAAAAGCGGTGGCACTTCACAGTTAATGGGTGTGTGCTGAAAGATGGCCTGCAGTGACATGAAGTTTGCTGGGCCTCCCTAATGGCATGTTTATTTGAGCGCATCCATTTGGCCCATTCTGTTTCATGACTAAGAGCAATAGTATGAAACAGAAACCACAAAATGCAAAACGCTTTATTTCAATGGTCCACTTTAGACATTCTACTAACTTTAAGTACTATATGGTATACTTTGCAACTATAAGTTACATGTCAACTAACTCTCATTAGAGACAGCCTGCTAACACTTTATTTTGATGCTCCGCCAACAAACAGACCTATAACTGACTTTATAAAACGGTTAGTTCGAATCCTTGATTCTGATTGGTCAAGAGCTGTGCTTTATTCACGATAAAACACGCCTATGACCGTTTCACCCAACGGTTCTATTGATCGCTGCGCAACACTGCGGTTCTATGTTGTTTTTATTTGAGCTTTCATGCATTTTACGCATTGGAACGTTGTTGCTGTTCACGCTCAGGGACTATTTTTTCTAGCGGAAGGAAGGCTTTTAGGGATTTTACTTCAAAAAAGTTGCACTAATACGTTGTTTTTTACTTTAATATTGTGTCGCAACCGTTTTATAAAAACAATAAGGTACTCGAGGCAAGTGCTGTATCGTGAATAATTAACGGCTGAAGGGGTTGCAGGCACTCAACGCCCTTCAGCCGTCACTTATTCACGATACAGCACAGCCTCTCATACCTTATTGCTTACATAAGTAACTTTACAAGTATGTCAACTTATTCTACTTACCTGAACCCTAACCTAACAGTCTACTAAGTGTTCTACAGTTTAACTAATACTGTAGAGAGCAAGTTGACACAGTTAAGAATTTACTTCTAGTTAGTAGAATAGTCTAAAATGGACCATCTAAATAAAGTGTAACCATATCATTGACTTGAGCCAACATTTTTTTTATAATGTTAACAAAGATGAATAAATACTGAAACAAATATATTGCTATTGTTAGTTTTTGCATGCACTAATATGACCTTATTGACAAGTTTTACCACCCCCCCCCCCATTAAACAACTGTATTCAACACATTTGTGGCCTTTTTCCATATTGCATCAAGCAAGAAGGTCTGTCCTCTGTAAAGTGCAGATTCTCATGCTAAATAAGGAAAGACTTGTGGTCTCCCAAATAATGCTAACAATTACAGTTAATTGTCTTTCAATTTTCCTTTCAACAGTAAGCAAGCGGTAGGCCTTGCTTGGCAAGTATCAGATGCATTACTTTCCAAGTACAGTATGACATGGGTACCACCTCATTACTACAGCTAGACATCAGTACGACTATGCGTTCCTCCTCGGCTCTACCTGTATAACCAGACGGTGACTTGTTGCTTTCATGTATTGTTTGAAATGGACGTCTCCATTGTGTATTGGGATAAAACAAGAGAATGTGAGCCACAGCGCCCACTGAAAAACATCTTAGTGTCAGACCCAGAGTGGTTAAATTGTAAGTGACACTAAACTACAGACTCAAGTGCAGCAACTGAAGACTAATGATGACACTGATACAGTGAGACACAGAGGTGATGCAGACAGTCAGCGGTTACAGCTGCTACATCAAAGGGCCATTTGGCAAGATGTTCAATGAAAATAAATATTAAGTGTGCTCCCTGATCCTTATGCTGCCCCGGGTACTTCTATATCTTTATACTGAACCGCATGTCTTTCCATTGAAGAGCCGCAGGGTTTGGGAGGTCATGTCATGGGATGCTCAGTTTGTTACATAAACGATTGGTTTTAAATTAGACTTTGGTGACGACATGAAAACAAAGACTTTTTGTTCTCCAGGAATGTTTGTCTTTCGTTCAGAGAAATTCACCTCAATATTTATGGAAAAATATCGAATTCGCCATTGCTCCGTAGTGCAAGTTTGCAGCCCATTGGTTGCGCATGCTTTCAGGTCTGACCTTTGCTGTTTGGCAGATCTCTTTAATGGACAGGACAACCATATGAGGGAGGGACCCATGGTGCTCAGAAGCGATTGTTAATCACTCTGTCCTCATTATCAGCCAATAAGCATCACTAATTTCACTTTTTGGCAGGGGTAATGCTTGCAATTACATGATGATTCAAAAGAGGGGCACGACAAAGTCACCTTACAGGCAGCGGCGCAGAAAATTACTTTCTGGATCTGTACTGGCTGGGTGAACATGACTTCTCCAAGAACTCAACAACCTTTCACAACATTCCAATCAACCAATCAGATTTGAGGGACAAGTTTATGACAGTTTATGTCAAGTTTAGGCTTACAACCAGTGTTAAGTGCTTCTACCGCTTCTCAGTGTTATTCATCTATCATTTCCCTCTGATTTTAGGGATAAGTTATGGGTAGGGGTAGGGATATGGTTAGGACAGGAATGTTGTTGAAATATGTTGACCCAGGAACATGTCTTGGAAAAGTCACGTTGCTGGAAGTTCACAACAATTCAACTTCAGGCCATTACTGAAGTTGTGATTGAATAATATTTAATCTTTAGTAAAGAATCTAGCAGGGCATCAGCTTAATTTCAGGGTGAGCTAATAAGCTAAATTCGATAAACCAAATCTAATTTTCATTTGCAGGAAAATAAGCTAAACACAAAGGGACACAATTTGCTCTAAATTCTCAGGCAGTAAGTCAAGAATCCAAATAAGGCCAAAAATACAAAAGCCCTGCGAGTATTCGTTCAAAATAAAATATACATTATTTTACCATAACAGCCTCTTAAAAATGTACATAGGCCTGTGACTTTACGTATACAAAAAAATCCATGATGTGACGGACAGCATGTGACAATGAATGTGTTATGATAATAGATTTCACGAGTTCACACTTGCATACAATTAAAGGCAGTAAAGTTTAATGCGTGTTTGGCGTGTTGTCTGGGCGAGGGCTCAAAGCTTGGAAATCGTCCCGAACCAAGAATACTCCCTCTGCACGTAAATGTTTAGGACTAGAAGAGTGGCGAATGGGGGGTGGAGGGATGCTGCTAAACTGTCAATGGATCGAGGTGAGACTGCTGAATCTATACACGTCATTGATCATTGATTGCTGTGTGCTCTCCACATGTGTTAATTATCTGAATATGCTCCTCCCGAACTTTGTTAATAAAACATCATTTGTTGTAATGTTTATATGCATTTGCAGTGAACTACTTCACAGCATCTCTCTGTGTAGCATTCCCATGTGCACTTTAATTGAGAACAGCAAACACTGAAATTTGCAATGCTTCGGCCTTGTCTACAAAATTTTCGCCCCATACCTCATAAAATACATTGCCTCCGGGGAGAAGATCCTGGAATGAACGTCAATTACTCTTCCCATTTGGGCTCATTCAGGTGAACACAGGGTGGAAATTTACTTGGAACTCTGGACCAGGGTTGAACAGATAATCTTCTTCATCCTCTTAAGTGCGATCAAATGCTCGGCTATGTTTGTGTACGTCCAGTAAGCTTTTAAAAGGGTTCTTCTTCATTAAGCGGCAAAAATTGCTCATAATGAACAACTCAGTCACATTAAAGTCAACTGGCTTCTCTTAAAGCGTAATTTATAGCACAACAAATTATGTGATAGGAACTCATGCACTTGAATCTGTTTCAACCATTTTTGAAAAGATAATCCTTTGCATCCTCTTAACTGCTCTCAAATACTTAGCTGTGTTTCTTCATGTGCAGCAAACATTGTCAGAGACCTTCTGGGAAGCACAGCTAATGCGATCCCTCGCTAAACTACAGTTTAAGGTTTGATCCATGCAGAGGACTTTTCCAAAAGCTTTCCTCTAAAAATTCACATAAAAAAATCTCTGACCCTTTAAAAAAAGTGACATATTTGTTTATGTGCTTTGCTCTGTCATAAATGCAGGAAGTTCTCGTCTCACAGGAGCACAGATGTGCATTTATGCCTCTCCCTGGATGAACAGCAGCTTAAACAATCTTCTTCAGGAAGGTGCCAAAAAAAAAAGAAATTTGGTAAGGGGAGATGGCGCTTTTTTTGCTTTCTTCAAACATCACAAATGAGCTACGCTTCTCAATTTCAATGCAAAAAGTTGCAGTAGGATGTGCTAATGCACCTATAGCGTAGCTCACATTCATTCAATGTAAATCTCCATGTTAGCCGTTTATCAGGCATTCGCTTTAGTCATTTCACTACTACACATTTTACCATAAATATGCTGCTTTTTTGTTTTTCAATGAATCCGTTTACAGCATACAACGACTCTAAAAAGCACAAAACATAATAATAGCACCTAATAGCAAGTCTTCTTAAGTCATATAATAGCTGTCTGAGGAACTGACTTTTTGCTGTTGAGAAAGATCATTAAGAGCTAGATAGAAAAGTTCCCAATTTTGCTTTGTGCTTTATATGTGCTTTATATAAACTATTGTGCGCAAGGATTCCTAAAAAAATCTTGTTAATTTTGAGTTAATAACAGAACTGCTAGTTTTAGGTGAATTTTTCCTTTAAAGTAAATTTTTTTGTTTTCTGCCAACACTATATTTTGTCAAATTATGATATAAAATATGCTCTTCCTCTAAGAGTAATTCTGTAAAATGTTAACAAATTTAAAGCTGTTTTCTAAGTGATTTTATTGGACATATTATAGTTAATGCGCTATATTAGAATGTATAAGACATTTTGATCAAATAATATTTATGTCGTCACAAAGCTCTAAAGGATATTTAGGGGAGGTTACAACTTTGTTCATTTTTAAACGGATGAAATAAAGCAAAGACAAACTCACCAAAGTGCCCAAACTCTCAGTGGGCCTTAATCAATCCCCTGTGGTGAAAATCAAACCTTTAAATGTTGTTTATGTCTCTGT